TTAGGTATAGTTGCCCGCAATCCGATTACAGTGAACGGGCAAGAATATGTCATCCCGATAAAATGACCGCCCTGCCCGTTCCGTCAGTAGAGTCGGGTTTGTTCCTTAAAGGGGACTTTGATGTGTCAGTCGTTCAAGGCATCTGGTTCTCATGCTACACAGTAATTGCTTATCTCAAGCAGGTCTGTCCTAAAATGATAAATGTTCTTTATTAGCAGATACTGAGCGGTGGCAGAGCAGCTGGCAACTGTGCGCAGCCGCCAATGGACGCGTGCAATCTCTGTTTCGTTGGCCTGCTAAAAGCCGATTTTCTCCTGTTATTGCGGCTACATAGTCTGATTTGACAAGAACGCGGGAAGACGGTTCGACGCATTTTCTATGGTGTTATTGTTTTTAGTGACATGGCGGGCCTGAATAACGTCGGTTTCACTTTATTCAAACACTGGCTGGATGGTAGTCTACTGCACAGTACGAACATGAGAATTTAAACAAACAGGGAAAAAGGGGCCTATAGCATCGACAACTTCCCAATGTACGGTATGTACAGTAAACTAGGAGTCAAGGCAGGTCTTGGCTTCTTCATACATCAGATGATGAACGAGTACTAGTCCCCAGCACCACGAAGAGGTGTCTTGCCTTCGCTGGGGGTCTTAGAGGGCTGCTCTAAGAGGGCGTGGGCTGACCATACAACACGGGGCCCATGGCCTGAAGTGAAGCTCGCCTCCAAGGGCCGACACAGCTCGCCTTTGAGGGCCGACACAGCTCACCTCCAAGGGCCGACACAGCTCGCCTCCAAGGGCCGACACAGCTCGCCTTCAAGGGCCGTGCTGGTAAGAAACCTGGTCCTACCTCCTCAACACCGGGACACGACCGGCCTTATATAGCCTGTCTCTCCAGCGGACCCACCGCGACCAGCCGCGCAGATCCAACCTCCTTTACCAGATAATGGGTCTGTTCCCCGCAGCGAGTTGAGTATGGCCATAAAATGACCGTTTGACCGTCGGCAACACTGCCCTGGTATGATTAAAGCGAAGCGGGCAAGGACCCAATGTGACCATCCACTCCCGCCGGGAGGTTCACCATGACGGACTCGGAGGATGGAATCGGTGCGCTATGACGATGGGGTCTGGTCGTTTGAACGGAGATCTCGGGCAGCAATGTGGAGACGCAGGAAACCGACAAGGAACGCAATGCACTTTACAGCGTGCGGGAATGATCGGAAATCCTCAAGGTGAAGGAGCACAAACCCAACCATCACCATTCTCGCTCCGGGGAACACAGGGCTTGGGTGAAATGACAGTTGCGACGACACGACAAAAAAAGGGGCGGGTATAGGTGGGGGCGAGAAACGGGCAATCCATCGCATGCTCGGGTATCTGGCGCACGATTACCGTCAGCATGAGTAATTGAGCAAAAGTGGGCAAGAAACCCAGTAGGCTTGTCTTTGGGGCTTACGATCATCCCCGAGCAAAGCCTCTATGAAGCAACGAGTTGTCGAGATACTCAACGGGGCGGAAATGGACGTGGCTGGCAGATTGAACAAAAGTTCAGTAAGAGGAAGTGAGTTAGAGATGCGACGTGCGATCCCTCATTGCCTCATCACATGACTCCGCCACCTTCTCCCTCGCTATAACCTGATGTTGAAGTGCGGAGTTGACTAAGCAAGAGGTCATCGCCTTGCTTGACCAAACTGATCATGCAACCCGATTAATATGAATCGTATGGTATAAGATCATGCAATTCAGCTCATTTTATGATTGATCCTGAAGCCCCTGAGACTGCATAAATATCGGTTTCTTGATCATATAGTTAGAGAAGACAACCTTCAATTCATTCGTTTGGTATAGTCATTCTGCTTGCCAAGACGTCGCCCTTCAACACCTGACTTCCCCTTTTGTAGTCTCCCCACCACTATCCCGCGTGCTGGTGCTCCGGTCTCGACCGTCGTTTTCCTCTTTTCTGCTCTTAAAAAGCACCACCATGACAGGTGCATGTCCAGAAGCTGAACAGCTCATTTTTGAGGCCTGTGATTCCATTAGAGGTCAACAAATTAGTCGCATTTCCACGCGATTCGCCCATGATTTGAACGCGTCAGTACGCCGACTCCGGGTCCGCTTCAATCCGTTGATCTCGTTCGATTAGCCATCGACCAAGCAGACGACTTAATGAGGCACAAGAGTATGCAGTTAATCAGTGCATCGGGCGAGTCGATACAATGTTTATTTCGCCCACTGCGGGTATGACTGCAGACTGCGAACCAGATTTTAAAGAAAAACGCGACCGACGCAGAATCCACGTGAGAGGGTAAAAACAAGGTTTCTGGCTTCATCGGCCGACTTTCTGGTGGTTTATCATATACAAAACAAAAGCTGATAGAGAGAATCATCTGGAAGCAGAAGATTTAGGCGACACGATGCACGGGTTCCACCTACTTGACCATAGGCTCGAAAACATTAGACCAAGCAATGCGTAGGAATCCGATGAGACAGGATTACAACTCGGGCAAGCAAAAACAAAAGGCTATCACTGCGATCGTGACCCAACGTCAAATATCATGCACCAATGGACGCAAAAAGTCTTGCGCGAGGTACGTATTTGTTCCATGTTGGGCGATATCGCTCTTTTGGCCCGAGCGCCGCCAGGCCATCGGCTAACCTTGTGGAATTAGCGGCCCTTTCTAAAGCGGCGATTGGAACGCTCTGTCTCTGCGTGTGTTTAGCATCCCAAAATCCTGCCGACTGACCGGATGGTATTACCTCGAGGCGATAGGACTGCATACCATGGTGCCCGTGTTGGACCAAGAATTTCGAACCCATTTCAATGTCATCGTTGCGAGCACCATTGGCCCTATTCCATCGACTGCGGGTTAAGATCGCCTGCATCCGACATGCGGAGGTGCATCGACTACTCATCAAGCGTCGTGCCCTGCTGCAGAACTTACTCATCCACCGAGTTGCCGTTGTGTGGCTAAGTGGCCCGCAGTGTCGACAAGGGCTCAGATACTGGCGCATGCAGTTTGGCACGGTGTAGACACTGACTCGGAATTTCGTGTCGTCTGAACGCCAAGATTATCACTCTCGTGCTACAATGCCAATCCGCTGCCTAGGTGCCTTGTAGCAGCCAGCACAGACATTAGCCATCCACATTCGACATATTTTTATCCTGCACGTTGGTCGGCCGTCAACCCCGTTCATATCGCGCTTGAAACAGTACCAAGGCGGGCAGAAACCAAATGTTAAATTATAATGATAGTGGCTAAGCTAGTATACACAATCAACTCTTCTGGCCTGGATGGAACCCAGATAGACGATGGGACAAGGTCACCCCCCTCCAAAGTTGCACAGCAATGCAGAGAAGCTCGGTGTGAACGGAATACCACGGGCGGGTAGACACAAGAGCCCTCTACATCATATCATGCAAGGTCACTTTTGACAGGACATATGATATGTCCTTGCGAATGCAATGGTCTCATGAGTAAGTGTCCGTCTATTCCCCGTCTCCTGACTTGTTGGATATGGCCATCATGAAGACAGCATGGCCGAAGATTCAGACGCGCGATAGGCTCGGGCCAAACGGGCTGTGCTAGCGAACTCATTGTTGAATATTGCTTTCCAGAACGTTGGGGGGCTGTGATGATGAGCCAACCTTGGAGATTGCCGGCTTCCGTGTATTGCATTTGTCTCTGGCAAGTTGGAGATGGGAATTATTCGTTGCTACGTGCTATCTCGCATCCAGCTTTTGGCAATGTCGCTGGCGCTGTGGCTGTGATTTTCACATACCATAAACTTTGCTATAGTCTGAAGATATGTTTTCTTGTTCGCTTCTAATTGCAGATAGTAAAAGCAAATCTTGGCATGCTGGCGGCGGCAGATATTCAGGGCGCAAGGACAGGGTTTATCATCATTCAAGCCAATGCAGGTGTCGCGGTATAAAGGATTGACCCAGAACGGAGAATAATCTGTGAGACACTGATATTTCGCCATGGTTGGAATAATAAGCCAATCACGTGTAACTTTGAAATAAGCGAAGGTGACAGCCATGCTTTATGGTAATTGCGCGGATAAATATCTTGCACGTTCTGGCAATAAGAACAGGGCCTATGGTGGCCTTCGAGTCCCACGATATTGAAAGGATACTGCAGGATTAATGTATCTGTTCTTTAGAACGGTTGCTCGCTCGAGAACCCGGGTCTGGGTTCCTATGAGTGAGGAGCCATATCCGAGGAAGCAGGCCGCTGTCCTCCGGGATTGCCATGATTCGGCGGAACCTATTCATCTATCCTAGGAGGCTTCGTAGCCTCCAACACAATCCGGTGCCCCCATTCGCAACAGCCCTAAATAGAGACATGAGGGCAGAGACATAGTTGTAGTAGCCTGCATATCGCTTACGCGAGGGGTCGGGGTAAATGACATCACCACCACCATCTAGTCCCAACGTGTCTGGTCACGTGATTGATCGGCATCAAGTAAGTCGGACAACCCTCATCCGATGCCACAAGCAGCAGCTTTCCAGTGATATTTTGCGGCCTGATACGAATTAAGGGTGCGAATCGCTGTACATGCATGGTAGATGTGGGGCTCTTTTCAAAATCGCTCTGGTCTCACAGTTATACATTTGTAGGCAAAGGCGCACTGAGAGAATTTGTGGACCAGATCCAGAAAGAGGAGCTCGTGCATTCACGTCTTGCCCCAATCCAAGAGACATTCATGCCAGTCTTAGTTGGCGGCCTGCGACTTCGGCGCCGGTTCTCTTATGACGGGATCTCTCTGATGTGTATGGGTTTTGCCGGAAGGACGCTTGCGCAGTGGAGTGGGTCGGTCTGGGTGACGGAAGATAGTAAAGCCGGAACCGGTCAATATGCCCGGCTTGATAAGGCCCTTCTTCCAGTCAATATAAGAGCTGCTATTCCTCCTCAAACTCTCAGATCAAAGACGACATCGGTACAAATCCCATAATAGCATACCCAGAATCAAACATATTTACAATCATTTTAAGTTACTATGGCTGCTCCGCTCAAGCGGCATCGTACATCTTTGGAAGGGGTCATCTTTCCTCCATCCCAACGCTTGGCGCAGGAAGAGCATGACGAAGCCACTAAGCTTTTTGACAGGCTCATGGACAATTTCGAGCCATCGCAGGCATCCAACAATGATTACAAACCAATAACGCTTCTACGCCTCACGAAGGGGGGGGTCAATGCTAAAGACGAGTTTCTGATACTCTTTTTCTCTTTCATCGAACACGAACGACTTGGAGTCACACGAACCAGTCTGGCTGAGACGCTCATAGGGTTACAAGGCTTTCAGGGATGGACTTCCGAAGAACGGAATGTTCTTTATCGGAGTCTGGTCAACTTCGCTGGTTATCTGATGGATAACTTCTTCCTACCACGTATGTCGCTAATACCTAAGTACCTGAACCGTGGAATTCTTACTCTACTTAGTTAAAACATTGGCCGCAAAGACTCCTCAACCTACGCCGGCATCAGTTTCTCGTCTGAAAGAGTCAGAACAAGCTATTGGTACCCCGCAGCGCATCTCTAATTTGCGGAAAACATGCCTTGCACGTGATCGGCATCGATGTGTGGTAACGCGAAAATTCGATGTCAGGGAGGCTGAAAGGCGATACAAGTCTGATGGAGAAAACGTGCAGGATGATGACGGGAACCCTTTACTGCCGGAAGCCGAAGACGCGACTAATCTAGAAGTTGCGCATATCATTCCTCATTCTCTCATGTCTCATAGTGACAGTGCCGGAGAGTCGAAACTAGTACGTCATTATTGATATTTTCGACTTTCTGCTGACAGGTCTTCTAGACTGAGCGAAAACAAATAGCCCACAAGATTCTGAAGATGTTCAACCCGGGCGCTGTCTACCTCATCAGCGGGACTGACATTGACCGGGAGATGAATGCGCTCACTTTGACCCATGATCTTCATCAATTGTTCGGTAATTTTGAGATCGCGTTCGAACCAGTCCAGGGTCAGCAATACACGTACAAGATTGACTATGTCAATACAAATCGCGGATTTCGAGCCCAAAAGCTTCCTGTCACCCGTACGCTCTATATCACCACCGACAGAAGTATAGACCCGCCTTCTTCCCAACTTCTGGAACTGCATCGTGCTATCGGGCGTATACTTCACCTTAGTGCTGCGGGTGAATATCTCGATAAATTTATCGAGGATATGAAGGATATTGAAGAAGGTGAGGTCTTCTCGAACGGGTCTACTCGAATTGATGATTACGTTCGTTATAAACTTGCGTCTGAATTTCACCAGATGGTTGTTTGCTAGGGATGGGTGAGGTGATCGTTGATAATTACAGGACTGTTTAAGGGTCTCACAGTGAATTGCTTGTATGCTACTGTTCTCTGGCTTCAGACGGCTGTCTCTTTATGGCGTAATGTATCGCTTTTCTGTATGCAAGCCCATTTCTCGAACTAACTCCTCGGCACTCCGAACCTGACCGATTGTGGCCGCGGGAGCTGACTAATCCAGCATTTCATCGCCTTAAGCCGAAAGCATCGATTGTCAATCATTCAACATAATTGCATCTAGACTGCAGTACGGTTTTGGTTGCGATCTTAGGTTGAAGTAGGCTGCGGCAAATGCCCTCCGTTGGATGTCCGCGAAATCTAATAATTATCCGCACTAGCATAAAATTCGCTAACGTATCTGGTAAGCGAGCGGCGGACCTAATCAAAAATCTACGCGTTGCCTTGCCTTTCCTGATTCAACTACCCACCATGCCTCCAAAGCGCTTCAAATTTCGAAAAATTCGAAAGAGAAAGAGGGTAGGGCCCTCTTAGTGGTTTCTGGTTTTTTCAAAGCAGAAATCTCTAGGATTTGTGAAGCAGCTCGCGTATATAATATTCCCGAAACAACCCTCCGCAGACGACTACGCGGTATATCGACACGCTCAGAAACACGCGCCAATAGTCATAAAATGACTCAAAATGAAGAGGAATCGCTCGTACAATGGAATCTATTGCTAAATCGACGTGGAGCCCCTCCCCGACATTCGCATATACGACCCAATCAGTCGGAGACAAATGGGTTTATAACTTTATTAAACGACAATATCGCTTAAAGACTCGCTATACTCGAAGCTACGATTATGGATGTGCTAAATACGAAGATCCTAAGATTATACAAGAGTGGCTTGAATGCGTACAAATCACTAAAATGCAATCTGGGATCACGCAGGAAGATATCTTCAATTTTTTTGACGAGACTGGCTTCGCTATGGGTCTAGTAGCTACTGCACAAGTAGTTACTAGAGCTGACTACTACGGAGAGGCCTCTCTTGTACAGCCAGGCAATCGAGAATAGCTTACTCTAATTAATCAACCTCTGCAGGTTCAACTCTCTCAACAATACCAGCCTCTAGAATGTTATGAAGGCAAAGGTATGTGCGTGCGGACTACACGCCGGCGCATCACTGCATATATAAACCATAGTTGCGGGAACCGTGGCCGTGCCTGCGCGTCAATAACGCATGCATAGAAGCTCCACTCACACACAACCATAAATGCTCCAAAATCATGGCCCTGCGCGTGCGTTCGTATCGCATGTGTGGAAACTCCACTCACGTATGGCCATGAATGCTCCAGAACCGTGGTCTCGCGTGTACATCCCATGGTTCTACAGTGGTACGTTCCCTCCGTGTTAGCAAAAGGGAAGGAGAGCGCACTGCTTCGCTTGAGGGGTACTCGGGCCCCCTCCATTTTCTTCCCATCGGTTTCATTCTTGTTGTCAACCTTGCTTCCTAGCCTGATTTTGGCGAAGTCATTATGAGGTAGAAGAATGACAGGTGAGAAGCCGGAGAGATACGAGGGTGGGAGATGGGGTCAGTTACCTGGTGAGAGTGGGCCATATGGCATACGTGCCTGTCGCATCATTTGATCCCATTTTCTGGTTGCATCACTGGTAATGATCCCACTTGCTCTTATAGTCAATTATAGGCTGACAATAGGCCAGCAACGTCGACCGACTCCTCGCCATTTGGCAATATCTGAATCCTGATAAGTGGTTCGACAATACCTGGGAGGATGACGGTACCATACCTTTCGATCCGTCCGGGCCCTTACCGCCGTTCCATAGAGATACCGAGAAAAAGCTCTATTCTTCGAACGACACACGATACTGGGAACCACTCGGCTACACCTATCCGGAATTACTTAAAACCAACGTCGATCAACTCAAAAAGGCCCTAAGAGAAAAATATGGTGGGGGAATTACACAGCTGAAGGTAGAGACGATCGATGGAAGACATCTGCCTAAGGGCATTGACGTTCATCGCTTCCAAGACTACGTCATCAACGTTGAATATGATCGGTATGTATATATTATACAAATTTTGTTACTTGTTTCTGACCCGGGTGAAAAATAGTTATGCCTTAAATGGCGAGCCATACAAAGTGGTCTTTCATGTAAAGGCAAAGGATAGACCAGGCAAGATAGGAGAGACTCGCCACCTTGGCTCCTTCTTTAATTTTGTTGCCCCTGGGTTGCCTGACTGCAGTAATTGTGCAGCACAGTAGCAGAGTGGTGTAAAATCAAAGGCTCAAGTGCCGATTACACTTCCTTTGCACGGGCTAGTGACAGACCCTGGGTATCCTGATGCGGAGAACTTAGAACAAGGACATGTTGAAGTGCTACTGGAGAGCCAACTTCGTTGGACCGTGTCCAAGGTATGATTATCGGTGTCTGCTCATCCTCAAACTGATGCCCAGCCACTGACAGTAATTCACAGCTTTCTGGTGAAGTTCCGCTTACTGAAGTCCCAGGACTTCTTGTAACGGTGTATGGCGGTGAATCTGAGTACCCGACAGATGAATCACTTGCTGCTTTCAAGCCAGACACGTATAGGCCCCTCTGGGGGGCCACCGACGGCAAGCAATGCGGTGCAACTAGGTAGCAAGTTGGAATATACAAGGGGATAAGTACCGTAAAATACCGGTTTTATTCTTGAATTACCGCCATCATCCTTTCTAATTTGTTGTTTCGGACGGTTTGCAAACAACCAGATTGGCCAAGTGTACCAGCACTCTCAAGTCTCAAAATGCCAGATCCTACCATCGTTTTAATCCATGGTAAATTATATGCCGTAGAAGAGAACATCCTATACATGTCACTGCGTTGCCTTTTAGATTTTATTCGTCATATTTTTGCAAGCCTTTGGAAACGCTGGTTCGATTATCATGTGGTACTATTCGGCCGATTGATATATTGTACTCTGTGCTATTTACTCTAAACCAAGCGATCTACGGGTCGGCAGATCCTTCTCTGGACTTCACCCGAGTAGTTGAGGTCGATGACCGCACCTAAATGTTGCGTTCATCAGGGACTGCCTGTTATTAGCTGGCATTGCCTGTCACATTACCGCCCGATGTCTATCATGAAAGTTATACCATCTGCCCCGAGGATCGTTATTGTCGGTGGTTACATGTGTGTAAGAGTAGAATGAAATTCGTTTTCTGATATTACGATCCATGCGGGCGGAACATTATGTGATATGTATCTTAGCACATTGCCATATCCCACATGATCTCGGAAAATGAATACTATCAAAGTGTTTGGCGGGTACAAACCGATATTGGGGCATCCTGCGTGCGGCGGTGCACCGCCAGCGCAAAAGAAAAACAATGATATATTCCCTAGATGGGCCTGCTCACATTAATCATCCTCTATAATGTTGCTTGATAGTTGCACACCTCGTGTAGGCTGCGGCAAATCCGCTCCGTTGGATGTCAAAGTCATATCCGCATCCGCATCCAACTGTTGGATATCCAACTACTATCCACATTTGAGCAAATTCAAAATCACCAAGTCCAACAATTTCAATAAATATACCATGTTCTCACTATATTTTTATATTGTTATCTACTGATAAAATTGCATTTCCTAATTCTTTAAGCTCTAAAGATTCTATATCTAGGAATATTTCGTTTGATTATAGCAAATTCAGCGTAATGTCTTTTTATGGTCTTCTTCCATAGAATCTTCACCAATGCTCACTCACCAAAATATACATTTTTTCATGGCAACCAAAATAACGACAACCAACACACCGATAAATCAAAAATACTACCACGCAGTATATCGTTTGGGAGTTAAAATATCACATGTAGCTAAGAGAATATAATCTCTTCTTGAATATATTCATATTCCATATTACTTCCACTGGTTGATCACATAAGATGGTAATTCTACCACAAATAACCATGACATACCGATACATCTGTAATCTGACGGGAAAACGATTGCTTGGTCAGCTGTATTAGGATCACATGAAGTGCCAAAATAGGTTAAATTAGCGAATTTTATGCTAGTGCGGATAATAATTGGATTTCGCGGACATCCAACGGATGTCCGTGGATATCCAGCAGTTGGATGAGGATGTTGAAGTGGTATCCAACATCCGCAGATTGCGGATGCGGATATGACTTTGACATCCAACGGAGCGGATTTGCCGCAGCCTGGTCCCTCCACAGGGGTGAGCGGACGGGCCCCACACTGATGCTACGGTCTTGCAGGTATACGTGCTATTTTCCTGCAATACTGTAGCGCCAGGTGACCCATTGCGGCCAAACTACCATCCCCAAAAAATTACTAGCTTTGTTTATTTTGATTATTTGGTACTAGCCTTTACCATACACTCGCTTACTCTGCTCCTGGTAGCTTCAAGCTGCGTCGTACTAATAATACCCCGTAGTCCCAGCTGAACAGAGAATGAAATATCTCCGTGCTACTGAGTCTGAGGAGAACACCCGTTCATCTATCCAACTCCAAGTCTGAGAGGGTGGAAAATATATCCCATTCTCCTTAAAAACCTTGCGCCATATATTCCTTTATCCATTGATATAGCCTCTTTGCGATGAAGCACTATCCAGTTCGCGGGGGTAGCGGAAAAGTCTCCCAACTCTTGCTTGAGGGAGCTATATTTCTCGCAATTTTGGTTGGCCTCCCTGTTCTGCCCCCTTTATCTCCATATAATTCCGTAAAATTTCTCACGCTTTTAGCTCTTTTTCGCTGACATATTCTCGAGATTTTGGCCTTTCGGCTCTCCATCATCATCTACAGGCTTTACTTCCACCCACTCTCCAAATTCCCTGGCCCAAAATTGCACGCAATATCATTCCTCCCCTTCCTATACTCCGACAAAATCCAAGGCCGGTTTTCAAAGGATATTAAGGTTCTGCACTCTAAGTACGGTTCCTTTGTTCGTATCTCACCAGACCGGCTCGCCGTTGCTCCAGAAATAGCATGGCAAGAAATCTTCGCACGTCGTATTGGCTCTCGACCTGAATTCACCAAGGACAAACGATTCTTCCAGAATCCTGGATCTATCATTGCGGCAGACAGGGACGACCATCGTCGCCAGCGCCGATTGCTTTCATATGCTTTCTCTGAAACAGCTATATATGAGCAGGAGATTCATATTAAAGTGTACGTAGACATGCTTCTGCGTCGGTTGAGGGAGGCCAGCAAAAGGAGTGAGAGGGAGGCAGTTACCGACTTCTCATTGCATATCGATATGGTGAAGTGGTTTAATTATACAACTTTCGATATTGTGGGGGATCTTGCCTTTGCAGATCCCTTTGATTGTCTTGCGACAGGAAAATATCATCCCTGGGTTGAAATGATTTTTAGTGGTATCAAAGCTTCTGCTAATTTGCAATTCATTACGCACTATCCGCTTCTCAAACCCCTGGTTTGGGTGATGATGGGCCAACAAGCGCAAGAGAAGCGGAAGATGTTTAAGGAATTTGCAGGTCAGAAAGCAGAGAAGAGAATTGCTCTGGGTCCTGCTGAGGACCGCAAGGATATAATGACTTATATCTTGCGGCATAACGAGCCCGAAAAGGGCATGACCCATTCGGAGATTGTGCAGAATGGAAGGCTTCTGATCGCTGCTGGGAGTGAGACGACTGCTAGTGCCCTGTCTGGTTTAACTTTCTACCTTACCCGGACTCCGCACGCGTACTCTAGGTTGACGAAGGAAATCCGCTCAGCATTCAGGTCAGAGGATGAGATTGGTATAAGGTCGACAGCCCGCCTGCACTATCTTAATGCTTGCCTTGAGGAAGGACTGAGGGTTTACCCGCCTGTCGCCGAGACTCCTCCGAGGATCTCGCCTGGTGATACAATTGCTGGACATTATATTCCAGCTGGTGTAAGTTTATGTGAATGTTGCCGATAAATAGATAGGAGACGGTTAAGGCTAACAATAATGGTAGACTATCATCTCAGTTTACCAGTGGGCAGCGTACCATTCCGAAGAGAACTTCTGCGAACCAGACTCCTTCAACCCGGAGCGCTGGTTGCCACAGGACCACCCTTATTATGACGACAGGTTCAGTACTGACAATAAGGCCGCATTTAAGCCCTTTTCGACTGGCTCAAGGGACTGTATAGGGAAGAATCTAGCCTATGCGGAGATGAGGCTGATTATGTCTCGACTGCTACTGAACTTTGATTTGGAATTAGTAAAGGGGTACGAGCATTGGGATGAGACGCAGCGGATCTACTTCATATGGGAGAAAGGCCCGCTTATGATAAAGCTGACTCCAGTTCGGAAGGACGCAGCATTTCGGAACTAACCTAGAACTGTTGTGCTGTTAAGAGGAAGTCAGTGTTATTTATAAGGTCATACAGGTGAAACCAAGTGGTTTTAAGCAGTAACAACCCTATAAATTACCGTCTAAGTCTATATGTATTCCCTACATTATAAACGCACTGGCGGGCAGTGAATACAACTTTATATTAAGCCATACATTACAGAGGGGTTCGAAACGGGATTCCATATTGAATATACAACGACTGCCTTTCGAACCCTAAGTGCCAAGATACGCTACTCCATATATGGCAAGCGTGTATTTTAACCTATGTTTCGCATACCAGCTCCTCTGAACCAAACGAATTCGTACTTGAATCTTCTGTTTTGTTCCCGTATTGTTACAATTCTGTAATTAAACTCCAACTGCCATGACGTCGCCAGGTCAGGAGCCATCAACATTCAAACAACCCACCGCAATATGGCGAGAAACCTCGATTCCTGGCAGAGTAACATGATTGTTCATATGATATGCAGCAAGAAAGCACTCACGATATCACAAATTGCCCAGGCAGCGAAATGTAGTGAACGCTCCGTTTCTAAGATACGCAGGAAGATGAGATTATTCGGCAGCGCAAGATCACCCCCAGTCCGTGTCGGCCGACCGCCGACCATTACTCCCGTGATGCTTGATGCCCTTCTTGGTCACCTCACCGAAAAACCCACCCTATACGTTGAAGAGATGGCCATCTACTTATGGGACGAATTTGGTGCTCTGCCTTCGCCGTCCAGTGTCAAACGTGCCCTTGCCAGTGCCGGTTGGACTAGGAAGAAGGCCCAGCAAAAAGCAAGGGAACAGAATCCTGAACTACGGGATTTCTACCAGCATAAACTATCTGAGTTCCGTTCCTACCATTTGGTTTTTGTTGACGAATCCGGGTGTGATAAGCGTGTGGGATATCGACGGAGTGGTTGGGCTCCTTCAGGAATGACACCAGTCCAAATATCTAAATTCCACCGGGGCGAACGCTACCAGATACTACCGGCATACACACAGGACGGTATCTTATTATCCCGCATATTTACGGGGTCAACGGATGCTATATTTTTCGAATTTTTTATTGAGCAACTGCTACAGCATTGTGGGAGATGGCCAGAGCCGAAATCGGTTCTTGTTATGGATAATGCATCGTTCCATCATTCCGATAGGGTCAAGCAGCTGTGCGCTAATGCAGGGGTTAAGCTCCTGTACTTGCCGCCGTACTCCCCGGACTTCAATCCTATCGAAGAGTTCTTTGCCGAGCTTAAGTGTCATATAAAGAAAGTGTGGCCAACCTCCCACAGGACCCTCAGGGAGGGGTTTCATGTCTTTCTTCGGAGATGCCTTCACGAAGTTGGTGCAAGGAAGGAGAGTGCCGAAGGCCATTTTCGAAATGCAGGTTTAACGGTGGAAAGAACGGCATGAAAATGCACTTTCTAGAGTTATATGTTGATGTGTTTTTGCTATCAGATCATGTCATATTGCGAGCGCTCTGGATCAATAATACTTCGTGTTTGGGGGTAGGCCCTGTAACTGATCGTCTTTCTGGATATCATGACAGTCAGTATCTGATTGATTGTTGTTGTAAAGGGGATATACAGACCAACAGCTTTCCAAAACTCTTGACGAGCTCAACTTCATACTCGCAATATTTTTGCTCACAAGTACCCATATCCTGAAATGTTGTCGCAACATCAAAATCAATCCACACAATTCTGGTACCGGATACAACGAGCATGTTCTTGGGATAGATATCATGGTGATGGACATGTGCATCGTGGATCTCTCTGATTCCATCAACCGCGTAACGAAACAGATCGTCGGAATAATTCAGGCAATTGAGCCGTTCTACTTCCGGGATGTACTCAAGTACAATTGCTCTCGGAAGGAACTTATCCTTTTTAAAATGGTTCAGCTGATGATGATAAGGAGATGGATCAAGTCGATCGATATAGCCGTAAAAGAACGGAACAAAGCCACGCTCACACACGCCGAATTCAAGGAGGTTACGATACGCATTGAGCTCGCAGCGGAAACGATTCAGGTCTCGACCTCTTCTGCTATACCCTGGATCACCATTATCATGGAACTGATATGTCAGTGTCATCCTAAAATAGTAAAATAGCTTGACTGACCAGCTTCATCACGCGTATCTTCCCGCATATTCGCACTTCGAATACCGTCGAAGCTTCCGAGCGGCCAATCTCACGTTGGATGACAAGATCACGGGGATCTAAATCAAGCGAGTAATCGCCCTGCAGTCCCATGGCCATTGCGTGAGCTACATGGAGGCGGGGAGTTGTGGTTTAAATGAGTTCTGATCGAGCAGGGTAGGTCGAACCCAATATCGCACCTCCCTAGATTACATAAAGCACTTTGGGGTCATGTGACTATCCCATCTCAAACGCCTCAAACGCCCCGCATCCCAGAACCCGAACCATGGTAAGACTCGCCCTTGCTTCTATGTGGTTTTCCATAAAACTCGAAATGGAAACTCAATCACTTTTGCAGTATCTCTCCGTTGCTCTCCCGACTATACCAACGCAAGGGACTAATCCAGGCCCTAACACCACAAATCCACAATATAATGCAGATGATATCACTCAGATTGTTTCGTGGCCTGAGTTCAGCTACCCAACCATCATCCAGCGATATGGCGGATTATTGAATTCGACTCAGATTCGGCCTGATCCGTTTACTTCACCTCCCGCCCCACTGAGAGATGAACCCACTTTCCATCTTCGTTTCTCAGATCTCGTTATGAACCGGTTGAGGCGCGGCCTCCGAGCAGGATTTGAACAACTCGAGCCAGAGCTCCGAATAAGACATCTTTCTAAGGTCACAATCGACGGAGGGGGTTCTGCACGGATAATCGATCAATTCAGGCCAGACGCAGCATTCATCGTAGTTAGTGCTAGTCTCTCAACAGGAGTCAATCGAGCGCCTGGGGATTTAAAGGTGTCTTGGAAATGGAAATCTTCGATGCGCTTCTCCCAAGACCTGGCCGACCAACGAGAGTACAGACAAGTTTTGGCCCAAGTCAATTTCTATATGGAACAGCACAAAGCGCAGCACGGTTTTATTCTCTCGAACGCGGAGCTTGTCGCAGTGAAACGGCTGGACACAAATGGTCGTTTAGCGGTTGCTACACCCATTCCATGGTCGAGTGGAGGTGCTGAGAGGTTTTCAGTATTGCTAGGGCTATGGTACCTTGGTATGCTAGCGGCTGAAGACGATCATTGGTCTCTACATTAGGCCCCTACGTCTTTTCATGCGTGGAGGTTCTCCCAAATACGCTCTCAAAGTTCTGTTTGTTGTTCAGATCACCTGAGACATGCGATGTGATTAGTTTCTCTAACGTCCAAAACAATGCCAAAATATATATCACCCAACTGAACCATGTGGAACCCGCCACACGCTCTTATAACTATAACCTCTATTGTTCTTCAACAGATCCCTGATGTGGTTCTGCCGATCCAGCCCATTGGTGTATATCGCGAAGGAACCGGCGAGCAGTTCCAAGCTTAATCCCCTGTTGAATAAAGAATCCAGAGTCGGGATCTTCGAAGATAAGTTCCAGATCCAAGTGGTTTTCCAGAATGACTCGACAAATTCGTCGAAAGTCGGCTTTGTACGCCTCCTCAGTTACCTGTGATTCCAGCCATTTGCAATAATCTCTCACTGCTTCCTCACGCGGCCCAGGAATGTGGAGACACCCATCTGGTGGGAACCTGGGTGGCGACGGCGTAATCGTGGAAGCCCGGGCCGTTTCAGCGGACATCAAATTAATGTTGATTGGAGGATATGGTACCCCCGCCGTTGGCAAACTATCCATCTTCCTGGATTTTCTCCCTATTTGGCTTTCCAGCACCACGTCTCGACGTATGTCATCGGGAACGTCTTCATGACTCTCTAAACTGCCCCCTCCGTCGACATGGTCAATAAGTCGCTCTAGGTGTGGGGCTCGGAGTTTATAATGTTTCTTGTCCCTAGGGTCTTCCCAGCACCAATCAGATCTCAGAGGACATGAGCGGACATGACATCGCATACGCTCATACACCAGACTCCAGGTCGAAGGCTGTCCAGTGTTCTCCTCTTCCGCGTTGATACATTCCTCGCGTTCAGCGAGCATTCTTGTAGTCCTTGATCCACGGCCTCTCTTTTCGACTCTTCGTGATGCGGACGTGATAGGAGCGTCATCAACATCATCATACCTATAGTTCAAGGCAATAATGACAGTGATCTTCTTGCCGATGCGGAGCAAATTGCTCCATTTACGTAACTGCTTCTCCACTAGTGTCCAGTTAATATCAGAATTGTAGAATTTTTCGAGGTCTCTCTGAGACCGGTCGTCTACAGAAACCGTAATGGCCGTGCCTTCAGACCGAACCCGCTTGTGACGTTTCTTTTTCGTCCGCAGCATGTCGTCGACATCTGCTTTCAGACTTTCTTCCCAGTACTCACTGGGTGCTACGACCAAATCTTCCTCAGTCACTTTACCCACCGTCTTGCGGTTGAGTACAAGCTTCCATGCGATAGTGTAGCAGATGTATTTAGGTGGTTGCTCATCGTAGTCGATACTTTCCTCCCATTGACTTAGTGGGAGGAATCCTAGTTGATCAGGCTGCAGGCCAGGCTCCGGGGCGGGGCTGGGAGATAACAAGGTGGCAGGTGTACGACCAAAGTAACCGGGAGTGGGTGCATGTTCGGGAGTGTCCCATGGGTCGGTCATCCGAGATTGATAAGCATCATCATAGCTGGGAGATCTATTGGTCATTGTCCCGTTGTTTGATAGAAACCTAAGCAGACAAGCTGCAAGGAGTTAGCCCATGACTGAACGTGTCCAACAAGACGCCTAGGAACACTGGGCCGCAGCATAATGATGAGCAAATGTTGGAAATGTAGAAAGTTCACCTGGATCATCGATCTTTTGCCCATCAACTTCGCTTTAGATGACCTGAGGGTACCAAGGCCTCAGCAGTGCAACGGCCACGAGATGCACGGAAGGGAAGAAAGGCTTCTGGACAAGTGGCCAGTTCGAAGGCGGTCTCGCTAGGATCGAACCTTCCAGAATGTTGATACTACGCCTATGTATGTAAGATACCAAAGTCTTACGAGGCAATGTATTATTACTTGTACAGTACAGAAATGTTATTTACTTGTAATCTATTTATAGATTAGCATGCCACGTGATTAGGGTTTGAAAACAAGTTTCTATATACAAAGTAAGGAATCCGGTTTTGAGCTCCTCTGTACCTGAGGGAGTATAAGTAGAGGTACATCAACGAGAGGAACCTGGATACGAAGAACCGGGAATTCAATATCAATCCATCGCGAGTTATCATCGCGTCGCTGTTGGTGCTGTTGTGTGCCGAGCGGGAACTAGTCTCGGCCCGATGGCGATCCCGCCGACAGGGGTTCCCGAACCTCCCACAAACACGCAAGAAACGACAACCAGCTTTTCGGTCGAACACTTCCAACCCAGGGTGACCACCACGACACCTCTCGTCCCATACAAACGAACGAGAAGCGGCGACACCTTCACGCCTTCCGAAGGCTCAGGCCGGGTGACCACAAAGGAGGTATGGAAGCTCGTGGACACGCTGAAAGACATCATCCACCACCAGACCACACTCATCGAATCTACCAAAGACGAGCTACAGGAGCTCAAGCATAATCAGAACGTTCTTCAGGACCAGAATGAGAAGCTCCAGGAGGAAATACGCGGACTTCGAACACAGTTCGAAACATTCGCGCTATCACCCCCAGCCAGATCATGGGCCGCGGTAGCAGCTAACAGTGCGAATCCCCCACCTCAACCGTCCCAATCGCGCCAAAGTAAAGACCAGAACTGCGTCCGTATTAGTACCCAGCGGACCTTGGTAGACCCAAGGGACAACGACGACAGTAACAGCAACACCTTTGGCCGATACCTCCCTACCGACTCGGCTAACACCCACATCCGCACGGCACTATTGAATGCGCCCTCCACTCAGGACGTCCAAGTGGCCGGAATCGGCACCACTAAAACGGGATATGTGATCCGATTCAAGGACCCTGCTTCGACCGAAGTGGCCCGCAATAACACAGAATGGTTGAGCGAGCTTGGAAACAACACACGACTGGTAAAGCCTCGATTTGGTATCGTGATTCACCGCACTCCAACGGAGGAATTCGACCTGGAGAAGGCGAATACAGAAGCTATTGAGAAAATCATGGAAGAGAATGAATTGACGGATCGCGGCTTCCGGATCGAGGAGGTTGCGTGGCTCAAGAAGAAAGACAAGGCGCTAGGAAAGTTCGCATCACTCGGCATCTGGCTCGATTCTGCTGAGGGGGCAGACTGGATCCTGGACAACGGCCTTCTGGTAGGCCAAAGATATATTGGCAGTGTTGAGCGCTGCGAAATCAAGAAAAAGAGATGCTTTCGGTGCCATCGGTTCGGCCACCTAGCCTGGTCATGCAAGGAAACCCCTCGCTGTGGACACTGCGCTGGGGAGCATGAGCGACAACGATGCCCCCCAGGGATTAGAGCCCGGTGCCTTGACTGCAGCGGCGAACACCCAACGGGTGACCAACAGTGCCCTACCCCCGCGACTTCCAATCACCCGCAATGTTAGATTCGAATCTCCGCGTGCTACAGCTGAACATGATGAAATCAGGACCAAGAATGGAAGCCCTGCTTAATGACCACCAAAGCCAGAACCTTGACGTGCTCCTGATCCAGGAACCGTCTATCACTACCTTCCGGACGCATGTTAACCATAGCGCCTGGCGCCTATATCGACCAACCACCCAAGCCGACACAACTCGACCCCGCAGTCTAATATACGTGAATCGAAGAATTTCCACATCCTCACATCGCCAGGTCTTATGTGACCATCCAGACATTACTGCTATCAAGATCTGGACGACTGAATCTCAAATCCTTCTCTTCTCTGTGTACATCCCTTGCGTGCCGCTGCACGCCCCTAGCGAAGGATCAGCAGAACCAATACTTACAGCAATTGAAAACACGATATCAACCGCTCGATGTGACGGTCGAAAATCTACAGGCGTCATTCTCTCAGGGGATTTCAACCGCCATCATCCGATGTGGGGCGGTAATAACATACAGCCAAGGTTTATTGAGGAAGCAAGTGAACTTGTCACGTTCTTCCAGGTGCACAACCTGCAAGGATGCCTGCCACGAAGCACGGCCACCTTCTGGCCCCTCAATAACCCCGGTAAAAGCACTACCATTGATCAGACTGTAACAGACCGACCGGAACTGCTCATCAAATGTTGCCTGTACCATGATAGCTACGGGTCGGACCATCGAGCAACGTACTCGGAGTGGAGTCCTCGCACCCATCACCAGCACACCACTAAGACAAAGAAAGCGTACGAACGAGCCGAGTGGGGCAAGGTCGGGACGGAAGTGCTTCTACGGATGGGCCCATGGAAAGACATCAAAACGAGGCCTGCTCTAGATGAGACAATCGAAAGACTTACTGAAATCACAGCGGCAGCAGTGGAGCGGCACACTCCAGACCAACGACCATCGCCCTATGCCAAACGCTGGTTCACGCCGGCCCTTAAGGTCCAACAAGTAGAGGTGAACAACCTACGCCGAAAATGGCAAGAGAGCTGTGCGGAACGAGGACGAGAACACATGCACTCGGTGACCCTCTTTCAAGAAATGCAACAAAAACGTCGGGAATGGACCCGTACCATTGAAAAAGCTAAAAGGTCACACTGGAAACAATTCCTGGACACAGCCGGGGAAGGAAAGCTTTGGAAAGCCGCCACCTATATGAAACCGCGAGAAGCCTGGGGGTGCATCCCGGCCTTACACGTCGACAGTCATGAATTAATAGACAACAAAGACAAGGCACAGGCTTTCCTGGACTCCTTCTTCCCCAAAATGGATGACCCAGATCAAGCACCACTACTCGAGGCTCCAAGAGAGCTTCCCTGGCCACCAATCACCGAACTAGAAATCCAGAGATCTCTCAGATCAGCCAAAAGCTCTACAGCCCCTGGCGAGGATGGACTACCCACCCTCGTATGGAAGAAGCTCTGGAGTTTCTTGAAACAGCTTATTACTGGAATTTTCACAGCATCAATTAATCTCGGATACCACCCTAATCGATGGCGGCGAGCAAAGATTGTGGTATTAAGGAAACCTGGGAAGTCAGACTACTCAATTCCAGGAGCCTATCGCCCGATATCACTCCTTAACACACTAGGTAAACTTCTCGAGGCAGTTATGGCTCGGCGGCTATCATACCTCGCCGAAAAGCATGATTTGCTGCCTGCGACACAGTTTGGAGGTAGATCAGGTAGAACCACGGAACAAGCCCTGTTGGTCCTTTCCAACGCGATCGACCGAGCGTGGTACAAGAATAAAATCGTGACACTCATCGCATTTGACCTAAAAGGAGCCTTCAACGGGGTCAACAAAACAAGCCTCGACATCCGCCTCCGGGCAAGAGGAATCCCAGCCATGGCTAGAAAGTGGATCGCAAGCTTTATGAGCGACCGCTATGCGAGTATAGGGTTTGATGACTTTCGCACCGAGGTCGCACCGCTAGCCAACGCGGGACTAGCACAGGGCTCACCCCTCTCACCGATTCTATTCACGTTCTTCAACTCTGACCTAGTTGACCAACCAGTTACCTTTCAGGGTGGTGCCTCTGCCTTCATTGACGACTACTTCCGCTGGCGAGTAGGCCGGTCCACCGAGGAGAATTTAGCCAAGATCCAGTCCGAGGATATCCCCCGCATTGAAGCATGGGCGCAACAGACCGGGTCCTGCTTTGCTGCGGAAAAGACGGAGCTCATCCACCTGACTAGGAAAAAGAGCGAGCAACTACAAGGCCACGTATTCATGAACGGGGAAACCGTCAAACCTTCGCCCGTTGCTAAGCTACTGGGCGTGGTATTCGACCATGAGATGCGATGGAAAGAGCATGTTCAGCAAGCTATTAAACGGGCTACCAAGGTGACCATCGCAATGACCGGGCTACGGCATCTACGCCCAGAACAAATGCGCCAAATCTATCAAGCATGTGTGACACCAATCGTGGACTACGCGTCGACGGTCTGGCATAATCCCCTGCGGGATAAAACGCACATGCGACACCTGAACACCGTGCAAAGAACCGCCCTAATCCGGACCCTGTCGGCGTTTAGAACAGTAGCAACCGCAACCCTAGAGGTGGAAGCACACATCCTTCCAACGCACCTCCGCCTCCGCTACCGGGCCCAGAACACTATCACAAAACTCCACACCCTGCCTCGCAATCATCCAATCTGGAGCGCGCTCTCACGAGCCCAAAAACGGAGAAACAATGCCGGAACATCGGCCCGTTTTCCACTTGCAGAAGCGCTGAAAACCATGAAGCTGGAAAGGTTGGATAGACTAGAGATTATTGACCCATGTCCACTACCACCATGGCGACCTGATCCCTTTACGGGGATCGAGTTAGGCTTAGACCGGGAAAAGGCCAGAGAGCGAGCCGAAGCTTTATGGACTACATCACACATCATTGTATACTCGGATGCCTCTGGACGCGAGGGCCATCTTGGCGCTGCTGCTGCGGCACTCGACAGCAACCTAAGCGTCATCGAATCACGACAGGTCCAGGTGGGACCAATGGATTGGTGGTCTGTCCATGTAGCCGAGCTGATTGGCATCTTCTATGCGGTCAGCATGGTATTCAAGCTCGCCCTTCAACGATTGAGGGGCTTAGAAAGCAGACAAGTAACAGCAACAATCCTCTGCGACAGCAGATCAGCTCTGCAGGCAATTCAAGGCGCTCGGAATCAGTCTGGACAACGGATAGTCCATGCGATCCTCCAGGCTGCCACCGAGATTCAAGTGAAGGGAATCGCGCTCCGCCTCCAATGGGTACCAGGACATTGCAACAACCCAGGAAATGATGCTGCAGATCGACTCGCTAAGAACGCCGCGTACCCCGGGAAAACCCATCCTTTCTGCCCGCTACTCTCGAGGGAGAGAGCGCGCATTCGCAGCGCCATCTTCGCTCAGTGGGAGCAGGAATGGAGATCATCTAGTAAAGGGGACCACCTGAAGAAGGTGGATGGCACCCTACCGGCGATTTATACCAGAAAGCTATACGGCAGTCTATTCAGGAACCAGGCGTACCTGTTAACGCAGTTGCGCACGGGCCATAATTGGCTAGCCAGCCACGCCAAAACCTTTGGCTTCCGCGAGGACGACCGGTGCGCGTGCGGCGCACAAGAAACAGTTACCCATGTACTAGTGGACTGTCCAAAACTGACGGAACTGCGAAGGAAGTTGAGGAAAGAAGTAGGAGACGCATTTAATAATGTCTCGAGCCTGCTGGGAGGCTCAACTGAAGGTAAGAAAGGTAATCCAGACATCGTCTCACGCGCTAGAACAGTCAAGGCTGTGCTAGACTTCGCCGAGGCGTCACAACGGTTTCGGAGTCGTGCGCCAGAAGGGCAGCCTAACACGGAGAACGGCAATTAGGCCAGAATAGGCCGTGACGAGGCTCTAAGTTCGTTTTCAGGAAGTGGTGCGGTTTACATGTACATACAAGGTTATATATAGTTGTGGTAGCCTGCATATCGCTTACTTTGCGAGGGGTCGGGGTAAATGAAATCAACCAACTCTGTACCTGAGGACACTGGCGCCACTTCAGCAGTAATTCTTAAATTCAGCAGTATGCTCGGAAAGGGACTTGGCTCGTTGCTGATATGGTGATAGTTCTTTACTTCTCGTACAGCCCTAGGCGCGATCATAATTTTAAATGAATTAGATGAATTAGTGAGTTTCAAATCTCTGGCTTGCGGAAAGCTTCCAGAAAAGTTATATTAACTTAGTACGATGCCATGGCCAGGCTACCTTTTCGCTTCAGGGATTCTCTGAAATGGTTATAGCATCCAATTTCAGAGGCTCTTCATTCTGCACTTTTACTCTCCTTCTACCTTGAAGCGAGGGTTTCAGTCCTTGACCCTTTTTTCCTTTTTTGTTGAAGGCGGGTATGCTTGCAGGGCGATCTCCTGCCATTCTTTAGAAGCCAGGTATGCTTCTCGGATTGGGGCCAATAGAGCATTTAATCCCTTAGCGACAGCTGGTTTGAGAAGCTGAGGGGTCAACTATAGAACCGGTCAGAACTGCTGCTACAATCTTTGGACTGAGAAGGACTTAAAAACCATACCACATCGCTGCGGTAATCATCATGCATCTGGTCAATCGTAGAGTAGACCAGCGGCTCCAGACCATCTTGTTCCCGGTCTACGCGGAATTCTCTACGTCCTCGCAAGCTAGATGCCGGCATCAGAACATACTCAACAAAAGCTAGAATTCCGTTCCCCTCCACAACTCGGGGTATCGCGATAGCTTTGCGAATCTTTTTGTTCACAACCTCAGGGGAATCAAGGAGATCGATTTTGCTGTCTTCTGATCCTCAGCACAAGATGTGTCACACGGGCCATGGTATTTGCCTTACCAGGGTCACTTGAGCTCATTTTCCCACCATGTAATCCAGGAACCATCGGGTTCATGATATGTGCGCGCTAGGGTCAGTCAATATAATCCGGCTTAGACGGGTTGCGATAGGAAGACCTGTTTATAACCAAGTTTCGGCAGCCACTCCTTTGCCGCAATGAACAGCTTACGTTGGTCCAGACCTACACAACTGGTTAGTTCAGATTCAAGAACCTGTCTCGAAACTTGAAAACTGTCTACCTCCGAACTGAACGTCAACATCTAAGTATTGTTCGTCCAGTACCTGAAGAACGGGGTAAAGTAGGCCACTTAAGGGAGCATTGTTGGTTTGTTTGACGATTTCAGCACCTGCGCGCTTCGCATCATGTTCGGATATCAGGGAGCTGAGCCTGTACATATCTAAGATATACTGAGGACTTCTCTGATAGGAGCTTCCCAACACAAACTTGAGCTTCTCTGTAGACACGCCCACTGCTCGAAGAATGGCCGTGATGGTGTACCGGTAGAATTCAACTCGCCTCTCCACCAGCTCAATCGGGGCTTTCAGGTTGTCAAGGAACGAGTGGATATTGGCCAGGAGAACTGTTAATTCGCAACCAGCAGCCAGCAGCTGGGCCATCTTGACGGCTGGGACGAAATAGGCACAGTGGGGCCGGCCAGTCGTCGCGGTACCTAACCATGGTGAGTGTCAGCGCAGTTCTCCTATACTTTCTACAGCGATACAGCCATTGAACTCAAGGGAATATGGATGACGCACCCCAATATATTTTCGGGTTGTTCCCTTCAGCGATGATCTTCTCGACCACTTCGAAGTTCAAGACCTCAGCGAGATTTTCTTGAATGAGGGCCAGCCTCTCGGATGGCTCCATGCTCGCCATGGCAATCTTTCTTTTGGGAAGTAAGAGAATTTCAGAGCGTACAAACAATTATGTGTGTGTGTTGTAGGTAAATTGGGGTAATGAGTCATTTGGTGTGAGTGTGGAATTCTGGCACACGCCAGTATATGAGTAGTCAGCACCGATAAACTAACTAACTAGCCATATTAACTTATACAGTAGTTCAGCATGTGACATTGGGCCAGAAATGATAATAGCACCCTGAATGAGGGAAGGGAAAATCGAGGAAGCAGACCACATGTGCGTCTGCATTAATCATATGACTTCCATATTCGGCCAACGCATATCGATGTCTTGGCAGACCCACGTCCCTGTGATCTATTCTTGGGAAAAATCCCTGTGTGCATATTGGCCACACTCGAGGCCAATAGCATCACGCCACGACTGACATATGATCAAACATCAGCGTTCTCAGACACATTAAAAGCTCCACTTAAGTATATTTTAGCATACCACCTGTCACGGCGGAACAGACCGCCAGAACACTATGAAAAATTGGGGTAATGAGTCATTTGGTGTGAGTGTGGAATTCTGGCACACGCCAGTATATGAGTAGTCAGCACCGATAAACTAACTAACTAGCCATATTAACATATACAGTAGTTCAGCATGTGATATTAGGCCAGGAATGATAACAGCACCCTGAATGAGGGAAAGGAAAATCGAGGAAGCAGACCACATATGCGTCTGCATTAATCACATAACTTACATATTCAGCCAACGCATATCGATGTCTTGGCAGACCCACGTCCCTGTGATCTATTCTTGGGAAAAATCCCTATGTGCATATTGGCCACACTCGAGGCCAATAGCATCACGCCACGACTGACATATGATCAAACATCAGCGTTCTCAGACACATTAAAAGCCCCACTTAAGTATATTTTAGCATACCACCTGTCACGGACCCTCCCCGGGGTGTTACCCGCCGGGGAAGAGCCCACAAAGCCCCCGGAGGGTATGTAACTGGAAGGGGTGCACGAAGCGCCCGATCGCAGCAACGCCCCCGGCGCACCGGCGGCACACTGCGACCATCCAATTGCCCACACTGTGTAGCCCTCCAGGAATCCGGTCCGCACGCAGGTGTACCCCGCTCGATCGCCCTTGCGGGCGCTGGCGGGCTGCGGCATACGGTCCTCGGGTGAGGGGTCCGGCCCCGCGGAGAACGCCGACGAACGGCGGATACCACAGGGCGGCTCCCCTCCGGAATCTATGTATCAGGTCTGGCCAGCGGCCATCGATCCACAGACCGCCAGAACACTATGAATTCTGTCGGCTAGCTGAATACGCGTATGAGCTAGTATCACCAATCTATAAAGGATCATGGATCTGCATTGAGGAATTAAGGTCTCTTAGGTCTCTAACTATCTGAATCTATCTGGGAGAACTAAATAAGAATGTGTGAAAAAACAAAGGAACAAAGTCGGACCTATTGGCCCACTTTGGTCGACAAATTCCAACGATGCTCCCTGGTAATCATCAGTTGAGTTCAATTAATTGCGCAAGCCCAGCATTACTAATAGATGGATATTAACCGCATTTTTAGCATAATATAAACGGCTGAGATGGGTAGATGTACATTGTCATGTAAGTCTTTTACTCTCTAGCTCAAATCTCCGTGCATGGTTAGGGAACTTAGTATCTCGAAAAATTGCTTCGTGTGTCTTCTGTCTCTGATAATTTTATACAACTTGACATGGCACTCCTACCGTCCTACGTGAGTGACTGATCATGAACCCAGTCAGAAGTAGTGACATTCCCTTCCATCTCGCCTTTGAATTATATTTGTTATCTGTTTTGGGACTTATGGTTATTTCCAAACGCTAAGTAGCACTTAATAAGCAACTTCTTCAGTGTTGAAAAGTCAAAAACATCGTCCTCTCATTAAGTGACTCACCGCATGTAGGTCAAACTGTGCCCATGAAGAACAAGGCAAACCGTAACAATATGAGGGACTTTTTCAGTCTTGAATTTCAAGCATACAGCTTTTTGTGAATCACAATATCTAGATGATAGTGAAAAGCATTATAATTACAGGAGCCATGTAACAATTTTAAAGAATCACTGAGCACACATGCAGGAGCTTGCCGAGCCTACAGATCACTCTCTTAGGTCCACAAACTCATGCTAAGCATAGGGCACTGGAAGTGAGTTTTAGCTCATCTACAACCCACTCCATTAACTCTGTCAGTGATCATGCTCTAGTTCAAAGATGACAGAGAGCGATGGTGATTTGATCAAGTTCCGGCTCACACAGCGCCATCCACTTTCAGCGAAGACATCTTGCCATTCTTCTATTGTGGGCAAATAGACACCCATCAGAGCGTGACCAAATTCAAAGCCCAGGGTAAAGACGGGAATGTTAGCTTCAGTGACGGCATGCTCGGACCGAGGTCCGTCCAACAGGATCCTAGTCGTATCTCCCAGTAGAAAACGGTGGACTTTGGGAAACGCCTTCCGCAACATCTGTAGTGTAGCAATACAGTTTTCCCGAGGCCAGAAGTCATGACCCATCATAAAGCACGTCAACAGGTCAACTTGAGCGAACTCATCACAGTAGTCCATATTGCGCGCGTCGCCCTTCATGAAAGATAACCGATCGCCGAGACCACGTTCTATCGCCTCGACTGTGGCGACTTTGAGGGCAGGTTCGGCGATATCGATGCCAATGCCCCTCGTGTTAGGGTACCGGCGGAGAATTTGCATTAACCGCTCACCACTGCCACAGCCTAGGTCAACCACTGAGTGGAACTTGTAACCCAGCTGCTCCATAAGCCTCCAGAAGACGGGGTCGAAGTGGTGGCGGTTAATATCGCGGCAGGCATATGCAATGGCTGTAGAGTCTCGGCTGTAGAAGACACCCTTGCGATTCTCGTTGTGCAGCATGTACTGCATGCGGGAGAATAGCCCACCTGAGCCTAGGGCGAGCCAGTGGAACATTGATTTAGTCCGATAGGCTTCGTCCAGCAGCGGGCCGGATGTGACCGCGTCCCCGTTACGCTCAATCACATCCACAGTGACGAGCGCGGCAACTAGGCCTTGCACAGAGGCATGGTCCAGATTGTGTTGTATTGCGAACTGGTTCACATTGACCTCATTTTGCTCTCGCACTTCATCAAGTAAACCTACTTCCCAGGCAGCACCAATAGCTGCAGCTGCAATGGTTGAATTGAAGATATCGGCGACTGCACGCTCTGGGTCAATGATTTTTGAAATCATGATATGCTCTCAGAATGGGTGAAAGAGAGTGAAGAGAGGTGAAAAGAGGGTGAAAAGAGGGTGAAAAGAGGGTGAAAGATGAAGATGAAAACGCCCCTTTACAAGATGCCAAATTTGAGAGGAGTTATTTGAAAATGTTGAACAGCGTGTCCGACATCACCAGAAAATCTCTCATGGCCCATCTGCTCTATCGATCCTCTTATAGGCATGTCTCGTTTATCAGCGTATTGGCTATAGCAACGCTCTGCCGGTATTGAATACTATGGTAGGTGTTAAGGGTAGGTATTACTGGTATAACAAAATGAATGCACTTGCGAGCACGTGAAAACAATACAAACCCCCTTGAGATAATTCCACTTTAATTTCAACTAGTGGTCGATAACCTATAATCCTATGTTCAGTTCTACAGTCCACATTGAATAAATTGCAACCCTACGTCGCCGCTCCGTTTCATAAACATGGGCTATCTATTTTAGATCATGTGGTTAGCCTCTGTCAAAGCGGGGTCAAATTTGAACCATTGGTAAGATGATTAGCACCTTCCATTTCCGAGTCACCTCTACTGCTAGATCTTGGTATTTTCATGTTCGGCGTAATGTAACATCGGCCACTATGTATACTTTACCCGTTAAGTGTTTATGTTTCACTCACTAGCTGCGCTTGTGGCGGTGGCCATGCAATATCAATTCTGAGTGGAATAGAAAAATATTAAGTAGAACCATAAGTAGCGCTAACGCATCCAATAACCAGTGCACGATGGCCGAACGGACCCGCAGGATTCTTATTACTAGACATACTGAGATCTACATCCATGACGCCAGCTGAGGGGACGTCCACCTAGTAAGGCCGCCTAGGTGAGCCCCCACCACTAGTAATATGTATGTACAAAGTACAGAGTACAGCCAACTACCAAGTAACGCGCCGCTGCAGCTCGTTGTCACTGTGCATATGCAGCTTCCAGCTGGTCACCGCGGCGGAACGGCTGTGGATATGGATGAGCAAACCGACTGGATTAGTTTGAAATAATGTTCAGCTCTCTAGGTCCATCTGCTTTGGTTCAGTAGATAGGGAGAGCCAGTGTTTCTTTTCCAACTGTTTTATTATTTTCTTAAATCGCGTGCTTTCCTGCTTTTCGACCATCAGTTGTTTTGCCCGGCGAATATAGTTTCACACGCAGATTCTCTTATTCCGTTCTGTTTAATTGCATGAAACTCTCTAGACGTGCTCGGGGATTTTGAGACAAGCCATGGGAAAACATGCCGCAAACTTAGCTGGTCTCCCTACTGCAAACGAGGCCATCCTCGTTACTTGGGATTCTATAGATGATACAGAAAATCCTCGAAACTGGGACAGTGCGCGGAAATGGAGAGTGACAATATCAATCTCGGCCTTCGTGCTGATGAACACACTCTCTTCGACTATCATTGCTCCAGCGCTCAGCCAAATTGCCGAAACACTCCACGTCAATAATGATGCGGAAAAAACTCTAATACTGTCTATATTTGTGCTTGGTTTTGCGATTGGCCCCTTCATTGCCTGCCCGTTGTCTGAAATTCACGGGCGCAAGGTAACTATTCATTCATGGAACTTCTTATACCTCATATTCAATACAGTATGCGGTGTGGTTAATTCCACAGCAGCTATGCTGGTATTGCGGTTTTTAGCAGGGTTCTTTTGCAGTGCGTCCCAGGGCGTAAGTCGTTTAAAAGCGTGATTAATATCAAATATAAGGCTAACCCTAACGGGTAGATCGGGACCGGCGTTGTTTCTGATCTCTTCTCTAAGGAACAGAGAGGAAGAGCAGTAGCCATTTACAGCATTTTTCCGCTTATGGGCCCCATTGTTGGACCTGTTCTAGGAGGTGTAATAGCTCAGCACACCACCTGGCGTTGGGTCTTTTATGCGGCCTCTCTACTTGATGTACTTATTTTGGTTCCCAGTGTCTTCACTTTACGGGAAACCTATGAACCTGTTCTGTTACGGCGAAAGAAAGAGCGTCTGACCAAAGAGACTGGTAGGACATACCAAACTCAGCATGACTATATGGACCAACCTCGTTCGCTGGTGTACTCAAATGCCCTTGTTCGTCCGTTGAAAATGCTCGCGACGCAGCCGATCATTCAGACGTTGGCCCTTTACAATGCAATCTTGTACGGAGTGATATATATACTGTACACTAACTTCCCTACGTTGTGGACCGACATCTACCACGAAAGCCAAAGCATTGCGGCCCTCAATTACCTATCTCTTTTTGTCGGCTCAGTCATTGCAGCAGAAGTCTCTACACGTGTGGTCGATCACATACAGAGGCATCTTTACGCAACGCACGGTGGCGTCCATCTGCCAGAGTTTCGCCTGCCAGTGATGCCGGCCGCGACCCTGACCCAAGCAGCGGGCATATTTCTATACGGATGGAGTGCTGATTTTCGGACTCACTGGATCCTTCCCAATGTTGGTGCCGCCGTTTTCATGGGTGCTGCTATGACATGTGCCATTGCAGTGAATATGTATATGATTGACACCTATGGAAAGTATGCTGCGAGTGCATTAGCTGCTATCTCTATGCTTCGCCAGATATTTGGATGCTTTTTCCCCATATTTTCCCCTTATCTATATGATCATCTTGGTTACGGGTGGGGCAACAGCGTTCTGGGAATTATTTCACTAAGTATTGGGCTGCCTTCTGTGCTTGTGCTCTGGAAATGGGGAGGCGAATTAAGAAAACACAGTCCCTACGCAAACGATGGGACAACGTAATGGTGTTTGTTGGCATTTGTGGGCATCAGTTGCGCTGGCACTAGTCTTGCAGTTGTTTAAAAGATGATGCGAAGTAAAGAGTCAACTAGTTCACTCCTGGCTTCATGGATTTGCCGAAACAACGTCTTATGCCCAACCTCACTTGCAAAGCATATTATCAGGAGGAGTTTGTTTGTGGCCTGTAAGCTCAGGACTGGAGATATCTTTTGATAATGTTCTGATAATGAGTCTCACATTCGCACGTAACTCCAAGACGAAATGCATAAGCAATACATCTACTCCCCCGCCATGGAATCTAGCGGATTTATTGAATCTCGTGGATACTTCACAACCCTGCTGAAAAAGGACCGACCGAGAACCTGTTCCCAGACATTGAAAATTCAATGATTATTATGTTCTAACACATACTGGGTCGGCTGGTCCGCCGTTTCCGTGCGCTACTATCGGTATCCAGTTCCGTCCACTACCAGCGTCATCACGGTGTCTCTTGTTTGGGCATCTCTGATTTCCACTCACTGTTACATCCACCACGTATGTGCCATTGTACCGGTGGCTGCTTGCCTGGGATGGTCATCCCGTCAGATTTAGCACGCACTAGCGTCAAATATCAGGACGTATTCGGTAGGATATTATAGTATACTGCCTTGCTTTTCTGTTTATTGCGTCTAATCACACCGATACTCAGGAGCGTTCATGTTCCCGTCTCCAGCCTCGTCCAAAAATGGGCCCACAGAGCTCAGCAAGAGCGGACGATACATTTCATGGGGTGATTGGCCACTGCATTATGCAGTTGTCCATTTGGTTTCCTAGTCTACGGTCTACGTATATGTATGAGGGGCAGTCATAGATTTGTCACCTTATGATTCCCGACTCGCCTCTATGGGGAATACTCCAACAATCGCAATAGCGCAAAGGGGGAAAGGAGGAAATTCCGGCTGTAAGCGTAGATGTTCCTTTTCAGCATAGATACCACGCCATTCTAGCCTTGTCGTTTACCCATACGTTTTATTTATCTTGACACCAGTGGATTACTCGACATAATGTACAACGACCGGATCCAAACACAGTGGAGTCTGATATGTTTTACCTTATCCCTTAAGCAAAATAAGGTCTCACTGAGGGAAGGTATGACAGAGATAGCTATTAGTAGGTTGAACTGTATCAGAGCTATATAGCTAGCGGGAAACCTATGTTTCCGGGGATTGGTGTTGATGTCTTTGCCAGCTCCCTCTCCCCATCCGCTTACCCGCACTCGCGAACGGTCAACCGACGTAGAAAGTATTTTAATCCACACGAAAGATATATCTTATTGGCGGGTATGTGAAGTTTTCGGAGCTGAGGCAAATAGATGCTCAAGATATTGGACAACGCGCCAGTTAGAAAGTACTTAGGGTGAAGGACACGCTAACTGAGGGTGCTAACATTTACCCGGTCGTGGAGAAATTACTGTTAGATTCAAAAGTACTTCAAGAGTGTGGTAGCCGTAATTTTGGATAATATCTGTTACGTAGGTCTCGCCCTTGCTGAAAATCTGCTTGTTGGGGCGGAAGCCATACATGACTGAAATGCAGCTAAGGTTATGGATGCACACTATTCCGTTGCGTGGCGTTAACTATCTCCCACTAATTTGGACCCAGAATAAACAATCCAATCGCGTCCAACGGCTGTGGTAATGGAAACCAATCAGAGAAATTGCGGCGTAGTATGGTAGTTTTGGAGGATCTCCTTGTTTCTTTGAAAGAGAAAAACGACTGATCTATGGTAGGGTGAGGATGGGACTATCTCTGTCAATCGACCTCATTATGCGTCTATTTCTCTTTCTCGGGCCTTCCTTTAAAATATTTTCACTGTCATTTCCAGCGCTTAGAATCGAATAGGGAAATCTGTTTAGTAATGCAAAAGAGATGCTTGGCAACTCGACACTATCGTACGATCAAAAGGTGCACCACGTCTGTTATACCGCGACTGGCTCTTACGCCGCACCAAGTCATATATGCCAAATTCATACTATGAAACCACTGTCGCGTTTGAGAGTCTCAAAGTGAGGGCCAATAGGATAGAATCGAACAAGAAAAACCTGTAAGAATGGTAAATACAACTTTTGGAAGCCGCTGGAGACAAAGGGATAACATATGTGACCAACTCATACCTGTATGCAAGCGTTTAGCGAAAGAAAGTAAGTGTGATTGGACACTCATCTAAGGGGGAAAAAAAGGGTCTACCCATATGATTATCCGGTTTGCACAGCATCGCCTTGCGAGACTTGAGCGATATTGTGCCTGTAAACACATTGTGGGCCGGCAAAGTCCAGAAAAAGCAACCCCTGCCATATGTTACATCAAGCTAGGCAGATGCAAGCATATCATTTTCTGCTCTGGGCACTCGCTTTAATTACAACAAAGCCTATTCAAGAACTTGGTCCTTCCCTTTGGTGCGAGGCCTGTGAATGCAAGGGTACCAAGGGCAGGGGGGTATCTTCGGAACGCTACGGGGTTCATGCTTTTGAGTCACCTTGAACAACCTGCAAAATTCAACGTTTCACTGCTGGGGCTTTCCAGAAGCATAGACAGCAAACTAGCAGTTCAGCCGCGCTAGAAGATCTCCTGAAAATCATGGGATCTTTACCTACAACTCCGAGAGCAACCCTGCTACGAGAAAGTTTGGGAAAAACCAAACAATATGAATGTACTCGTTTTGTAACTAAAATTCAAATCTAACTAGGTATTGGGATACAAGTTGGCTCTCCAACAACTAGCTAATAATGTATGTTGCAGTCTGAAGAAGTAATGTCTCTTCTTAGCTTATAGTAAGCGGTTCGGCGGATCCATATTGCCCTATACTGTTGTGTTTGAGATAGGAGCATTTAGCACAGCTTTGAATACCCTACAGAGTTTGGTAAGCGCCTCATCGCTGATCTGGTAGTGAAAGACGATCCGTCCGTTCATGAATGGATGCTCCATGACCTTCAGATTTTCTTGGCGCATTAAAAGGTAGAAGTCATCACGTGTAACGCCAGAGGCTTCAAAGTCAAGCCAGACCATATTCGTCTCCGTTGGTCTTTGGAGCTTCCCTCCAAGATTTTCCCAAAGGGCTGAGGCTCTTCTGGCCTTATTCTGAGCTGCCTTCAACTTCCCACCAAAGAAGACATCATCGATTGCAGCTCTCGCTGGTGCAGCAATCACGCCAGCGGCCCGCAGACCACCGCCGAGGAACTTCCGAATCCACCGTGCCCGCTTGATGAAGGTTAAACTCCCAACGACAACGCTCCCGATGGGAGCCCCAAGCCCCTTAGTCAAGCACAGCTGAATGCTGTCGAAGCACTCTCCAACCTCGTGCAAGCTGTAACTTCCTGAGGCAACTGCTTCCCAGAGACGGGCTCCATCTAGATGCATATGGATAGGCGGGCTTTGAGCACGGGCCCAACGAGAAATAGCCTGCACCTCTGACAAGGGCATGATCGTGCCTGAGAGTGGGATCTCCAGACTGATCACTCTGGTCGGACAGTCGTAGGGAGTTTCAGAGAGGACGCTATTCTCTATTATGTCTTCGAGCGTGAGGTGGTGGCCATTCTTTGGAACGACCTGCTTGATGAGAGCACCGCAAAGAGTGGACGCACCCCCAGCCTCAAGGTGGATGATGTGACCTCGATAATCGGCCAGAATGGAGTAAGGAGGAGAACTCAGAGCAGTCCGAAGAGACACCTGGTTACCCATTGTGCCGGATAAAACCAGAAGTGCGGCTTCATGCCCAAGCAATCTAGCCACGTAATCCTGAAACGAATTGGTTGTGGCGTCTTCCTCAGTCACGTCGTCGCCAAGGGATGTATTAATGATGGCAAGGAGCATGGGGAAAGTAGGTTTGGTGCAATAATCCGAACGGAAATCGTTGGACGCCTCGTCGCTGTTTGACCAAGCAAGACGGGCAATGGAAATTGATTGTTCATCGTTGAAAGAATTAATTGCCTCTTCTTTATTGGCTTCTGGTATGCTGGACCGAGGGAGAGGGTTCATGGACATATTACGGTCGAATTGCGTGAACTCCATAGTACTGGGATTTCAGGATTGAGGAGGAAAAGTCGCAGGAGCCCAGTGACTGAACCAAGATTCACGACTCAAAGGGGTTGCTGTTGTTTTATTTTCTATCCTTTGCCCTCAGACGGATTCGTACGAGTGTTAGAATAATATCAAATACCTATCTGGGACCTTGTAACCAGCAATAGCGTGTATTCAGGATGGTACCGCACTCGGGATGGGAATTCTTGCACGAGACTAAGACAATTCAATACCACACAGACTATTAGTGCGTTAGGCTGGTAGTCTACCTGCCGGAAGGTTGCCGGGGTTAGACCCCGTAAGAAGTACAATCCAGCCTGGCCTTTCATCGCAATAACATGGAAGGCGAGGTTTTGTAAATCACGAGTCTAAAAGTATCTAAAAGCCTAATCTGCCTATTTTTTAGGCGTACTTTTAATATTGACCGAGGTTGGGAGCAATTACGACACCGCAGGGGTGGACGTAAAGTCGGCAAACTCGGGAGGGGCTTTTTTGTCAAGGATGGTCAATCACAGTTACATCGTGAAGGTGATGGTCGGATTTCCGCCGGGCTAACTCCTCAATGGTGCCATAATACTTGGTTATCTGTGATTGTCTTTTTGTACTATCCATCCTCTAGGTGTTTGATATTAGAAACAGGGATTGTTCCTCGCGTCTGTGGCTTGCATGCGCTGTACTGTAAAGTATTTGATTAGGAACCCAGCATACGTAAGCCAATATCAAATCATAACGTTAAGAGAATGGGGCCACACGGATGGAGATTTTATCCAGCTTTTGAGTAGTTGAGGGGTTTCCGTGTGTTCTAATTTTAACGATGCTTAGAACCGAGCTGGTCGGAAAGTACTAACTAGAAACCTCGGCGGAAGGAAGGACATTGTTTGAGACACCAGCTATAAGCACTGCCACCGACGTAGATAGTATGCATGGAGTTAAATATTAGGGAGAACAACATTACACATCTTTAACCTCTTTGAAGTGATACTTGTATTCCTCTGCTGTTATGGCTTTCCACCAGGATGACGTCCCCAGTGGGCATATTGCGGCGAACATCGCCCAGGAAGCGGAAACTGCAAGTCGTGGTTCGCAGATAAGGGGCATTCTATGGCGGACTGAAAGTGTTCCTCCAGATCTTGTGCCATTTGTCCGCGAACAATCTCCGTTCTACAAGGCCTTCCTATCTCATCTACCACATGATGTCCCCTTCTCCAGTCTTCCCTTGACTGATGCTGAAGCATACTGGGCTGCAGGAAAGGCCTCTGCTGACAATATCCTGACGAAGCCCTTCCGAGATGGTGTGGTAATGAGATCTGGCGGTTCCACTGGTGCTCCAAAATTCGTTTATTACACCCGTGAAGAGCTTCAGCGCATTTGCAGTATTAAAGCCACTGTCGCTTCCGTGTCTAGCGGGATCCTTCCCGGTGACCGAATTGCCAATCTTAGCCCCATGGGCGGCATGTACGGGAGCTTCATGTTCAACAACACTGCGATCATGGAGCTGCCAATCGACAACGTCCAGCTCCCCATTGGCGGGCAGCAACCAGAGGACGTGATGGCAGATACAATCGACATATTTGAGGCAACTGTAATCCTCACTACCATCTACTCTGCGAGTAAGCTAGCAGGATGGCTGCTTGAGCAACAGCGCACCTTGAAGACCGTCCGTCTTATTTTATTCACCGGCGAGCAATTCTTCAAAGATGTGCGCCCACTTTGGAACCGGGCATATCCCAACGCCCTTATTTCTCCGTACCTGTATGGATCCGTGGAGTGCGGACCAATCGGCCTTCCAACACACCCACCGCAGCCTGGCAGTGATGATGACACCAAGCCTGTGTACAAAGTGTTAGAGCCCGCGGTATACATGGAGATCGTCGACGAAGAAGGTTTGCCCATTATTTCACCGGGAGTAAAGGGTTCTGTTGTCGTTACACACCTGATCAAACGGCTTCAGCCATTGATCAGATACCCCGTGGGTGATATTGCAGCCTGGGAAGACTATGAGCGAAGAACTTTCAGGCTGTATGGACGGGAGAAGGTGGCCCTAAAAATAAGCACGACAATCCTGGACTTGCCGGTCCTGAAAACATTAGTTGGGACACATCTCTCTCCAGATATCCCATTCCAAAGTGTGGTCCGGCGTGCCAACGGACAGAATGTGCTTGTGCTTAGAGTTGCGATTGCCACACCAGATAACTCTCCAATGATCAGAGACGCTATGGAAGGTCATCTGGCCGAGATATCGCATAGTTGGATGCTCAACAGAGATGCAGGCCTTATAGCACCCCTGGCGATTGAATATGTGGACATAAAACATCTGATACTCGTCCCTGGAAGCGGCAAGGTGAAAGATTTTGTTGAGGAGCGGTTTGACTAGCCAGGCCGCGCAGTACGCCAACTGAATATTAGGTAAAACACCTAATATGAGTGCGTGTGTCAAATTCGCCCACATTTTTAATCATCAATGTTTGAGTTAGCTGAGATTCAGTCTATTATATGACGACCTTCAGTCGTGAGATCATATTGTCATGAGAAATCTATTCATATGCCAAACACTTATAATTTGCACATATTCCTCACAAAAATAAACAACATGTAAACAAAGAGCGTCTATTAGAGGTACTCAGGTAGAACCGCCAGCGTGAGATAATTTGTTTTTGGAGGATGTTTAGTTGTTAAGAATTGCGATCGCATGAGCTTTTCCGTAGCTTCCTTGAGCAAAGAGAGGGCGAATCTTTAGAGTCGGCCGAAGACCTCTATTGAGGCGGAATCGCTGGTGAGCGAAATCCGGAGGCAGTTTCTGTTTTGGAGTAGCGATGTGGGCGGGTGGCGCGATTTCGAAGCACTTTGATACTGATCCCTCTAATCCTCTAATAGTATTGTTTTTACCGTATTCAACTACGAGGTAATACGTGTATCGGTCCTTATGCTACCATAGTACATGTGACTGCAAAGCTAATTTGTCAGAGTTTGCTGGGGTATTCGAACAATATCTGAACAGATATGATTTCAGCTTGAAAGCCGTGTTATATTGCGTGACTTCCAGTGGGGCGCAAAAGGAAGTGGGAATGGGTTTAGTTGAAAGTCCTACATAAAAGCACTAACTGACCCCTGCGCTAAGGCCTCCGGGGTCGGTTAAGGTCTGGTTTGTCCTTCCAATCTTGGTTAATTACATTACAGGGCCACGAAAGGCCCCCCAGAGGCTCCAAACTAATTGGTCTTTTGAATATTCCCTAGAGATCGATGTGTGCGCACACTTGTCTAATGAAGTGCACGGACCTGCAGGTTGAGCCCCTCTTTCTGTCCCGTGATATGTTCCTTTACCTCGAAGTTCTCATCCTTGTCTGGTGCAGCATCGTGTGTAAACCTCCATTCTAGCTTCCAGAGGGCGACTGCAAGTGTTAGCATCAGTTCCGCGGTGGCAATACTTTTGCCTATGCAGCTCCTAGAGCCGCGCGAGAAGGGTAGGTATGCGGCGAGTATTGTATCCCGTGCAGGCTGGCTCTGAGCTAACCATCGCTCTGGCCGATACGCGAACGGCTGGTAGTAATGTTTTGCATCGTGATGCACACTCCAGATACCTACCCCAACGTCGTACCCCTGCGGTATGGGGACGTTATCCACCATGACACCATTTGACTGCGATTCTCGCCATAATGACGAGCCGACCGGAGGAGACAGACGCATCGCCTCGTTGATGCATGCTGAAAGGAACTTGCAGGCGCTTAGCTTGCCCCCCAAAACAATCTCCTCAGGACGAGAAAAACACTCTTTTACCTCGACTCTGGCACGCTCCTGATACTCAGGGTGTTTGGCTAGATAGAAGAATATTCCCGCAATGGCGGTTGATGTGGTGTCCGCGCCGGCAACAATGAGCGTTGTAGCCTCGGCAGCCAGTTCGTTTGGAGAAAAGCCCTGATCCGTTTCCGGTTCTTTCGATTTGGCCAGAAAGGAGTACAAGTCGTTGAAAGTGAGCCCTTTGCGTTCCGCATGCTTGGCTCTGTCACGGAGGAGTCGAGTGACGAAGGAGATGAGGACTGAACGAGCGGCGATTGCTGCTGGGAAAAATTGTTTGTGAATTTTCCAGTATCGGAGGGCAGGGTACTGGAACAGGACAGCCATGCGGACATTGGAATTGAGAATAGCGTCCACGGCTCCTCTATGCTCCTCTTTTCCGAGCATATCGCAGTCACTTGAGAAGACGATGCTTGTTACGATGTCAAAAGTGAGATAGTCACACAAACGGGCGACGTCAATGGGTGCCGACCATTTTTCTTCCTCATCGTTTTCTGGTATATCCGAGAGTACTCTGACAAACTTCCACACTTTCTCGAGGATCCTCGGCTGATAAGCCATGATACTGTCGTCGCTTAAGGCTTGGCTCAACACGCGCCGTCTGCGGTTATGCAGCTTCTTATGCCTCAAAGTTAGAATATTTGGGGCTTTATGGACTAATGCATCGTATGCTTGTGATTTTAGCAAGGATCCATTGTGGTTGTAGACGTCGTTAACGGCCCTCGCGGAATTGATTAAGATTCGATTCGGGGCGTACCGCACGACTTTGCCGTAACTTTCATGACACTCCCACATGTCGACGTGGATCCTGCCCGTCCAGCCCTGGTAGGCAGCATAGAAATTTGATATCTTGGCCAGAAAGGGCCCCGGATATCTGGCGTAGGGGTGAAATAGAAGGCGGTAGACGCATAATACTATGGCCTAGACAGTATGTTAATCTACCGATATAGCAATATGAACGAGAATGGGAGAGATCTGACGAACATATACCGCAATGATGAGGAGGGCTGCCTGTAGTGGCGGCCGAATACGGCTGAGGAGGTTGGAAATGATGAAATGAGGATATTCCATTATCAAAAAAAATGGTCACTGATACTTAGCTGCCTGGTTGGTTGGGTCTTCTCTGACTTGCGCGGTGGACTACAAGATTTAAGAAGACAGAAAACACGGCTTCGCCGAGGTTCAGTTTTGCGGGAGTATAAACGTACGTGTGCTGCACAACCGCGCACAGCGCCAAAATCGTAGTAATTATCAGCCCGCTAACAGTGAGGGATTTATTTTTTAATTAATAGGAACCCATACTGGATAATGATCCCAGCCTGGCAGACCCGCCGCTATCTGACAATAGGCAGCAAAGACTTCCACTTGGATGTAACCCTGAGCGTTATTAACAAATGGAACCCAAAACCATGCACAACCTAGATACAATCACAAGGGAGCTACAACAGTGGCTTACGTATGCTGGGTTCCTAATCAAATACTTTACAGTACAGCGCATGCAATCCACAGACGCGAGGAACAATCCCTGTTTCTAATATCAAACACCTAGAGGATGGATAGTACAAAAAGACAATCACAGATAACCAAGTATTACGGCACCATTGAGGAGTTAGCCCGGCGGAAATCCGACCATCACCTTCACGATGTAACTGTGATTGACCATCCTTGACAAAGGATACAGCGCATGCAAGCCACAGACGCGAGGAACAATCCCTGTTTCTAATATCAAACACCTAGAGGATGGATAGTACAAAAAGACAATCACAGATAACCAAGTATTACGGCACCATTGAGGAGTTAGCCCGGCGGAAATCCGACCATCACCTTCACGATGTAACTGTGACTAACCATCCTTGACAAAAAAATACAGCGCATGTAAGCCTTTGTCAAAATTCTCCACTTAGTTGCATAAGGCCTCCAAGGGTGCCCGAGTACAGGTAGTCCTCGTCGTCCAGAAATTACGTTGCTGACCGCCCGTATTGAATGGGATATAATTCAGACCTTTTCCTCCCTCAGCAAGATGTGTTCCCTTCAAATGATATTTGAACAAAGTCAGGTTGATAAACGCAACAACTAGCCTTAAACCACGTCATGGAGAATTCCGCCTTGAAGAGCACGTCCATTGCCATAATAGGCATGAGCTGCAGGTTCGCTGGAGATGCCACTAATCCCGAGGAATTTTGGAAGATGTTAGTCGAGGGCAGAAGTGCTTGGAGTGAAATCCCGCTGTCTAGATTCAATATCGACGGAGTGTATCATCCGAGTCATGAAAATATCAGCACGGTAGGAGCAAACTTGAGGGATCATGGCTGGATCGAGTATACTTACAAGGGTGACGAATGCAGACAAATGTGAGGGGTGGCCACTTCTTGAAGGAAGATATCGCTCTATTCGATGCAGCATTCTTTAACTTCTCGGCTGAAACAGCTGCGGTGAGTCCCGTGAGCCCCTGTATGTCACCATTTACGGCAAGAACGCTGATGGCAAGAAGACTCTGGACCCACAATATCGGCTGCAGTTGGAATCTGTCTATGAGGCACTGGAAAATGGTACGGCCGTAGCCCACAGCTTTCTCGCGATACTGACCGAGTTTTTTTTCAGCTGGAATTCCTCTAACAAAAGTTGCTGGATCCGCTACGTCCGTTTTCGCGGGAGCTTTCTTCCATGACTATCATGACAGTCACATGCGGGATCCCGAAAGCCTCCCACGGTTTTTGATGACTGGAAACGGCGCGGCGATGGCATCTAACCGTATATCACACTTCTATGACTTGCTCGGGCCAAGTATGACGCTCGACACCGGTTGCAGTACCACACTTACGGCACTGCATCAAGCATGTCAGAGTCTCAAGGCTGGGGAAGCGGATATGTCTATTGTATCCGGCTCAAACATAATGATCAACCCGGATATTTTCATCACTATGGGTTCTCTGGGGTAAGTGTCTTCCCTTAATCTGATTTTGCGGGACCTTACCAACTCAAAATTTTAGATTACTCTCACCGGATGGCAAGTCGTAAGTAGAGTCCCAAATTTCTTTGCAATATTTCACTGGTTATGTATGAGGAGTTCTCTTTGCGGACGGAAACATGTTCGAGGCGCAACACCGGAAAGCTCAATGATTTCCGGTATTTCCGCAATCTGACCGCCTCATTTCCAGATATTCCTTTGATAGCCGAGCGAATGGCTATGGCCGTGGAGAGGGCGTCGCCACAGTCGTCCTCAAGCGACTGGATGACGCACTTAAGGCCGGAGACCCTGTTCGAGCAGTGATTCGAGAGACACAGGTAAATCAAGATGGCAAAACAGAGACCATTACATCACCTAGCCAGCAGGCTCAAGAGCAGCTAATTCGCTCGTGCTATCGGAAAGCTGGTGTCCACCCACGTGCAGTGCAGTATTTCGAAGCGCACGGGACCGGTACGCCAACTGGTGACCCGGTTGAGGTCGGCGCTATTGCCTCTATTTTCCAGCAAGGCAGATCCGCTCAGAACCCCCTATATATTGGGTCAGTGAAGACTAACATTGGCCATACGGAAACCACAAGTGGTCTGGCCAGTGTGATAAAGGTCGTACTGGCCTTGGAAAGGGGTATAATACCCCCTAGCATTAACTTCGAGAGCCCAAACAAGAGCCTCTCCTTAGACGAGTGGAATCTCAAAGTGCCGACAAAGTGCGAAGAGTGGCTTGCAGGAATCCCACGCGCATCTGTGAATAACTTCGGGTATGGTGGGACAAACGCTCATGTCATTATGGAAGGATGGAAATCCCGAACTTCAGTGAATAAAAACGAGCTTGAAAACGAAGCCCAAATCACTGACCGCAACAAAAGCCACCAGAGCTTTGGATCGAGAGTGTTTATTTTGAGCGCGAAAGACGAGCAGGTGTGTCAAGCAATGACGGCCAACCTGAAAGAATATCTCCAGGGTCTTCCTCTATGCAATCAAGAAGAATTTCTCGACGACCTTGCGTATACATTGGGCCAGCGTCGGACCCTATTTCCATGGATTTGGGCATGCGCAGCTGGAAGTGTGTCAAGTCTCATCGGAGAGCTTGACAGCCTCAAGATCAAGCCCAGTCGGGCCGCCAATCAGCCAAGAATTGGATTCATCTTCACTGGCCAAGGCGCACAATGGCACGCTATGGGTCGGGAGCTCATCGACTCTTATCCCGTCTTTAAGGCCTCCATTCTAGAGGCTGAGAAATATCTGGCAGAATTCGGCTGCGACTGGTCGATTCACACGGAACTACTTCGCGACGTCAAGACCAGCAGGGTCAATGAAACACTAGTAAGCACGCCGCTGTGCGTTGCAATTCAGGTATCTTTGGTACGCCTCCTTGAGTCCTGGGGTGTAACGCCCGTTGGAGTAAGCAGCCATTCGAGTGGAGAGATTGCAGCGGCATACGCTGCAGGCGCTCTGAGCTACAGGTCGGCAATGGCTGTGAGTTACTGTCGTGGCGAAGTCACATCAGCGTCTACGAGTGGGAGAGGAGGCATGTTGGCAATAGGCATGGGGCGCGACTCTGCTGAGTCGCTCTTGAAGCGAGTGAATAGCGGCAAGGCCAATGTCGCTTGTATCAACAGTCCATCCAGCGTCACTGTCTCCGGGGACTTGAACGCGATCGAAGAACTCGAGGGCCTGGCCAAAGAACTTGGCGTTTTTGTCCGTCGACTCCGGATCAACGCAGCGTTCCACTCACATTTTATGGAACAACTTGCTCAGCCCTATCTTGAGCAGATGCTGTTGATGGGAGTTGGCAAGGATAAGCGGAAGATGAAGCCAGTCAGATTTGGCTCGCCTACCACCGGTACACTAATGACCAGTAGCGCTGACATTGGTAGCCCTGATCATTGGGTCAAAAGCATGCTGAATCCCGTTTTATTCATCGACTCCTTCCGAGAAATGGCCCTTGACTCTTCCACCGGCAGCACAGCCGTCGATTTGGTTATTGAAATCGGGCCCCATGCCGCGCTATCGGGACCTGTCGGTGACATCTTCACTCTCCCCGAGTTTAAAGATAGCGACATATCATATTTATCTTGCCTAGTGCGGAAGTCAAGTGCCCTAGTGACAATGCATACGCTGGCCACCCAGCTAATTTCCAAGGGGTTTCCTGTCGATCTCAGTTCTGTTAACCTTCCTCGCGGTAAGCACAATGCGGCCGTTCTATACGACCTCCCTCCATATCCGTGGAACCACCAATTCCGTCATTGGTCCGAGCCCCTAGTCAACAAGAGACACAGGGAAAGGCAATTTGCGCCACATGATCTGTTAGGATCCCTTCAGACAGGGACCGACATTAGTGCTCCTACATGGAGACATATCATTCGTGCTTCGGAGCTCGCGTGGGTCAGGCATCATTCTGTCCAGTCCAACATGGTTTACCCCGGCGCAGGCTACATTTGTATGGCTATCGAGGCTATGTGCCAAGTCAGTCGGATGTCGGACAAGATGCTCTCGGGATACCAATTCCGCGATGTGGTCATCCAGCAAGCACTCGTGATTCCTGAAGGACCTGACGGAGTTGAGGTCCTGTTCACTCTCAAGGATGTCAGTGAGAAAGCCATCGGTGTCAGGGACTGGAAAGAGTTTCAAATCCTGTCAATAGCTCAGGATAGCAAGCGGACCGAGCATTGCAGAGGACTAGTCCATGCCGTACTTGAGGGCAGCACAGAGGATCAGGGCCGATGGGATTTCCCTGGTCCATTGTTTGAAACCAGGGCTTTTAACAGCCACTTAAAGGAGATCGACCCAGAAGATCTATTTTCTGGACTAAGATGCATCGGTATCTGTCATGGCCCAGTGTTTCAGAATATAGAGAGAATCAAGGCAGGCGAGAGACTGTCCGTGACCACCTTATCTGTTGCGGATGTTCAATCCATAATGCCTGCCCATTATCAGCATAACCATGTGTTGCATCCCACCACGCTTGACTCAGTCTTCGTGTCGGCATATACCGCTCTCACAGAAGCAGATTTCGCTCAGTCCAGCGCCAAGGTGCCCAAGACGATCAAAAGTCTTTGGGTAGCCAACAATATCATTTCCGAAGCTGGGCACAGATTCAAAGCGTACTCCGAAATCAAGCGCGCTGATTCAAAGGGTTTCCGGTCTCGTGTTTTTTTGGTAGACGCCAGCCATGATGTGGAAACACCAGTGCCGCTCGTAGTGGTTGATGGCTTGGTCTGTCAGTCACTTGGAAGCACAATTTCCCACCAACCAGAGCCGTATCAGGATGAAATTTGTAGCACGCTGAAATGGAGACCTGATATTTGCCTCCTTGAACCCAGTCAGTTGAAACAATCGCTCAGGTTGCCTATAAGCCAGACAGAGGCAGACATACTCCTGGACCTCAAACATGCCTGTTTTCACTTCGTGCATGATGCACTGGGGTCTTTGACTCCATCTGATGTGCAGCAACTAGGATTGCATCAGAAAAAGTTCTATGTCTGGATGAAGCACCTCGACTCAGAAGTTTTACGCGGACACGTTGATCCAGGTTGTTTAACGTGGATTGAAGAGAGCTCCGAAGAGAAGCAAAGGCTCTTCAAAGAAGTCGCTGCTGCTAGCGTTAACGGGGAGATGGTATGTCGTGTGGGGCCGCAGATTGCGGCGATACTTAGGCACCAGTTGTCACCGTTGGAGTTGATGATGGAAGACAAGCTGCTCTACAAATACTATCGCGACAGTCTCAAGTTCGACCGTTCATATAACCAGCTGAGTGAGCTTGTTAACCACGTTGTTCATAAAAACCCTCAAGCAAAAATCCTAGAGATCGGCGCGGGTACAGGTGGCGCGACTCGATGGGTGCTCAACGTGCTCGGGAATGGAAAAAAATCCGGCCATGGACCCCTCTCCTCGGCATATCATTTCACTGATCTCTCCTCAGGCTTCTTCGAGGCTGCGCAGGAGAATTTTGCTGACTGGAGTGACATTATCTCCTACCGAAAACTGGATATTGAAACGGACCCTGTCAAGCAAGGATTTGAAAGTGGCAGTTACGATCTCGTTATTGCTTGCCAAGTCTTACACGCCACGAAAAGTATGGCGAAAACCATGACAAACGTCCGTACGCTACTGAAGCCTGGCGGCAAGGTGATCCTTTTTGAAACTACGCAAGACCAGTTGGATATTCAGTTCGTGTTTGGACTGCTCCCTGGTTGGTGGCTAGGTACGTCAAACCGCCCCTTCTTTTTAAGATGATCAATTTTGACAATTCGGCAGGCGAGGAAGAAGAACGGTATCTTAGCCCAAATCTATCAGTTCCTCTTTGGGACCGTGTGCTCAAAGTGACCGGCTTCAGCGGCATCGACGTTAACGTACATGATTGCGAGAGTGAGGAGCTTTATTCATTTAGCGTCATGATGTCGACAGCACAATCAGAACGGCAAAATTCACTCTTGGGTCCAGTGGTGCTGGTATCTGACACAATCGCACGTGAGCAAACCTGGATGAAGATGCTACAGGAATCCGTTGCGGCCACGACTGGTGAATGTGCTCCCGCGGCTGAATTGCTCCATTCAGTAGACGCGAACGGAAAGATCTGCGTCTTTGTGGAAGATATCTACCGGCCACTTCTTTCAAAGCCTTCACCTTCAGAGTTCGAAGCAATCAAAACTCTTGCTTTGAATTGTAGAGGACTGCTCTGGGTTACGCGAGGTGGCGCTGTAGAGTGTGAAAGTCCGATGCTCGCTCTTAGCCATGGTTTCCTACGCTCTCTGCGCAACGAACATAGTGGAAAAAAGTATATCTCGTTGGACCTTGACCTTGCAAGGCCTAGATTGGACCAACAGGATGCTGCCATTATTACCAGGGTTCTCGCAGCAAGTTTCGACGTCACTGACAGCGAGGCTTCGCAGGATTTCGAGTTTGCCGAAAGAGAAGGCGTGATCCTAATTCCCCGTCTTCATAAGGATTTTGAGAGAAACCAGTTTATTGCGGGAAATGGCACCCAAACCATGCCCCCTTCTCTGGAACCCTTCAAGCAGTCGAACCGTCCTCTCAAGTTACAAATAAGCACTACTGGGCTTCTAGAAACTCTAACCTTCACAGATCACCTGGATGTCTATGAAGACATAGATCATGAGGACATCGAAGTAGAACCCAAGTCGTTCGGGGTCAACTTCCGAGACGTAATGGTGGCAATGGGGCAGCTTGATGAGACAAGAATGGGCTTCGAATGTGCTGGCGTCATCACTCGCGTCGGTACCAATGCGGCGCTAAATGGCTACAATGTTGGAGACCGCGTTTTCTGTCTCCTAGACGGCCAATATGCGAGTAGAGTCCGGCTTCCTTGGACCACGGCGTACCACATGCCCCCCGACATGACCTTTGAGCTGGCTGCATCTATCCCAATGGTCTTTGCAACTGCTCATATCTCGTTACATGATATTGCTAGATTGTCCAAAGGCCAGTCTATATTGATCCATGCTGCTACTGGGGGCGTTGGTCAAGCGGCAATCATACTATCACAGCTTGTTGGCGCTGAGGTATTTGCTACAGCTGGTACAGTAGAGAAGCGTGATTTCATCATTCAGAAGTACGGCATACCGGAAAACCATGTTTTCTCCAGCAGAGATACTTCTTTCGCGGCCAAGCTCATGTCAGTGACGAACGGCCTCGGAGTAGACGTCATCCTAAATTCACTTTCAGGAAGGCTGCTCCAGGAGAGTTTCAACTGCCTTGCACCTTTCGGACATTTCGTTGAGATTGGCAAGTATGATCTTGAGCAGAACAGCTATCTCGAAATGGAACCTTTTACGCGTGTCGTATCATTTACTTCAGTCGACCTGTCAGTGCTTCTCAGACATAAACCTTCCGAAATTCATCGGACGTTGGCGAAAGTTGCGAGTTTATTTCAACAGAAACTTATTCGCGCGGTGGAACCCGTTACTTTTTTCCCGCTGTGTGATGTCGAAAAGGCGTTCCGCCACATGCAAGCCGGGAAGCATACTGGCAAGATTGTAGTATCGGTGGGCCGAGAGGACATTGTTCCGGTAAGTCCAACCAGCGTTCACAAGACGGAAAGTCTGATCTAACGTGCATTTAGGTGGTTCCGCGCAGGCCGCCGACTCGCCTTCGGTCCGACTCGTCATACATCATTGTTGGAGGCGTAGGAGGAATCGGGCGATCCATCGCCCAGTGGATGCTAGGCCATGGTGCAAAATCTTTGATCCTTCTATCACGCAGCGCTAATGCCGAGGGTGAGATGGCCTCTTTTGTTGCCGAGCTTCAGGAAAGACACCCGGGTTCTAGAATCAAAGCCGTTGGCTGCGACATTTCGAACGCAACCGAGTTGTCGCTCGCACTGCGGAATTGTTCCCGGGAAGTACCAACTATCCGTGGAATTGTCCAAGGTGCAATGGTGCTTCGGGATTCCATTCTCGAACACATGACGATTGATAGTTATATGGCAGCTGTCCGACCAAAGGTGTATGGAACGTGGAACCTACACAAACAACTTGGTTCACAACTAGACTTTTTTATCATGCTCTCATCGCTGGCAGGCATCCTTGGATATTCAAGTCAGTCAAATTATACAGCTGGCGGAGCTTTCCAAGATGCACTTGCTAGGTACCGGGTGAGCAAAGGTCTCCCAGCGGTGGCCATCGACCTTGGAGTTGTCAAGTCCGTGGGTTACGTGGCAACGCACAAGTCCGTCCACGAACGTCTCAAAAGAATCGGACATACGGCGCTAAGCGAGGACCAAGTCCTTAGAGCCCTTGAATCAGCCATTCTCAACCCTTCTCCTCAGGTCATGGTAGGGCTCAACACCGGACCTGGTCCTCAGTGGGATGAAGAGACTGGCTCGCCCCTGGCACGAGAATCCCGCTTTCTTTCTCTACGGTATCGGGAACCGTCCAAAGCTACCGGTGCATCCACCACTCTGCGGCGGGTTGACAATCTCGCCGGCAAGCTGGCATCTGCCTCATCGCTCGATGAGTCGGCCGGATTAATAATGAGGGAGCTGAGCAAAAAACTTGGGGATATATTCATGATTCCCGTGGATGAAATTACGCCATCCAAGTCAATGGCGTCCTTCGGAGTCGACTCGCTAGTAGCTGTCGAGCTGCGCAATATGCTGATATTGCAGGCTGGTTCGGACGTCTCCATTTTCGAAATCATGCAAAGCCCATCTCTAACAATTCTCTCTCACACCGTCGCATCAAAAAGTGCCCACGTAGCCCTACCTTTGCGTCCATGAGAAGAGCATCGATTCTAATCTTGAATGCTGTTCGGATTAAAAGCGGGATGAAAAAGATCACATCCCGGCCAGCGACGTTCGACGTGTCCTTCCACATGTATAGTATGTTGTTTTGTCAGTTGGTTGGTTCTTTCTGTTGTGTTCAGAGGAAGATTGAATTGTAATTTGTAATATTTGCATCCAAAAACTTGAGGTTTATACACATGATCAGTATCAGATTGTGGGAAGTCGACCTGAAGGTATATGGAAAAGCAGGAGGAATTTATTTTTCTCCAGTGTTAGGAGCTCTTGGGAGCGCGATAGCTAGCTTAGCTTGATCCTCGGCTGGGATGCTTAGTCAGGTGCGAATATTTATATTCGCACCTCCTGACCGGAACTCTTGAAGGTCAGCGATTAGTTCTGCAATATACGTGGTCCTATCTTCCCTCCTCTGTTCCTCCCCATTCGTACCGTAGCGCACCATTCAGCTCGTTACCGACCCCACGCATAACAAGATTAGTAGGATTACTCGGATATACCAGTAGTATAATAAAGAATTTCGAGATAAATGATTAATTAGAGTATCTAAGCTCTCTAATAATACCCGCAATACCTCTTTTAGCTATATATAAGGGACCGTATATATTTAGTAAAGAAATCCAGGTAAAGATGGGACTGGGGATATATCAACACACACACTTTATTAACGCCCTGCGGCTAAGCCGAAAGGGCAACTATCACTAGTCTATTATACATGTCCAGATATATGTGCCTTGTCTCCTCGAAGCCCATGCATGATTGCGCACATTTTATGTCATATCAGCTGTCAGTATCGTAGTAGGTCCTTGTGGGTTAGTAATTTGGTTGGTAGACTAGCTTGAAGGCGCTTCTTCAAGTGTTCAACATCCTATTCTCGGCAATTGAAGCGCGTCTACCATCTCTGGCACAAGGTGGTTGTTGTAGGTTAGTTTGGGGAGGGTATCATTGGTGTTGATTGAAATGGTTAAACAGCTTCGAGTCGGCCTGTGGCGATTGCAAATCGTATTGAGGCTCGTACCGCTTCCAAGTTCGGCGACCAGCCCTGATCATCGGAAGGAGATTTTCCGCCTAGGAAGAAGGATATGTTCCCACGGTGGGTATGGGTACATTGCAGCATTTCCGTCCGTTGTACGGTCCATTTCCGACATCGAAAGAGGAAGTGCTCGACTGTTTCACTTGCTTGTCCACATGCACACTGGTCCGTCTGTGATACATTGATTTGATAAAGATACCCATTTAATCTTGCCATGCCGGTTCGGAGTTGAGCCAAGAGACATAACTACACAGCCAAGGCTGCCCGTGGCTAAGCCTTAACGAGTCCTTGCAACTGATGTAAAGCAGCTTCACCAGGCCCGCTTGTACAGGCCACTGCCCTGGTTTTCAGCGCGCTCATCTTTCGGCAAACGGCTTCCAGATCTTGAGGCCCCGGCAAAAACCTCTCACCCCAGGTGTCTCCAGGTTTGCTCCTTAAGCATACATCACCGGCATTTCAGCTAGAACGACATCACATCCGTCGCCCAGCCGCAGGTTCTCAGTGCGAGTGAGATAGTAAGGAGGTTCAGAGCCATCCCCACTAGGACGACACCACTTTGGCTGTTAAACTTCAGGTCCCCAGTGCGAGTGAGGTAGCTGCTTTCCGTCTCTCTGTATACCGACACGCGCGTCCGTCCTCTCGGGCCACATAGACAGTCTCGTCGCGCCCCAGGGGCCCTTCCGTCACTGCCATTATGTGCCACGCCCCACAGGAAAGCTTCCTGCTTCGCGTTACCAGCGCAGATCTCTCTCCGCTAGCCGACCGTGTCTCGCAAAGGCTGCCCTCGTGGTATCCCCAGATTCCCTGCACGATACCAGAGCCATCCTTCACTAACCAAACTTGTGTCCTCGGCTTCGCAGGCCTCTCGATCACCCGTGGCTGCGCCTTAACGAGCTCGTCGAGGTTTGTCGCTGGATCGCATGCCCCTAGCGGAAGAGACGGTCGGTGCATCTGACCAAGGCTGCCCGTGGTCGAACCTTAACGAGTGACTTGGAGTCAGAGTACCGGCAGTCCTTCCACCATACTCACACAATTCACTGCTCCGCTGATTGTATCCTCCCTCGCCGCTCGACGCCAATCCAAATTGTGTTCAAGTTTCTCTAGGGCGTCTCGTGGTCCCAGAGAGTATTCAAGTTCAGAGGTGTCCTGTCTTCTGTCTAGGCGATACCACATTCACTAGAAAAGCAAGTCTAGCTCTGGTCTCGAGTACGAGTCGAGTAGACAGTCGTCGGATGGTTTTCATAACCCTTTTCCTCTGATTTGTGTGGGTTTTTGGGAGGGCTCGGCAACCACGGAAAACTCTGCGGCTCGGCCCTACCCGCACCACCTGGATTCTTTTGGCTTCCCCTCCACGCAAATGGAAGGTACTGACACCGGACACCGCGAGAAGGTAGAAATCCATCGTCCTAACTGCTTGACAATAGCAGTTACCCAGCGTGCTCGCCAGGGGCTCCTTCCGGTACAGCCTTTCCGGGAAACGGTGTCACTACTTCCCTCTCTGTGCTTTCTTTCCAGAGCCTAGTGCCAAGCTAAAACGCCCCACATCCGGACGGATCTATGGCCTACTCTAAGCCTGAGTGGACACTTGTCACCGGTGCTTAGCTACATATGGAATTGTGTGCATCGGGAACAAGGTCTTGGGAAAGGAAAGAGAGTACATGGTGACACCGTTTCCCGGAAACACTGTAGGCTTCCAGAGCCTTTTCCTTCGATTCGACTTGGGCCTGGCGTGTTAGGTACATGGTGCCTGTACCTGGTCCCAGGAATCATCGCGACCGGGACAGGAATATTTATGGCATCCAAGACGGGCTGGCTCCGTGCCCTAGGGCTTTCGATCTATCGCGACTGCCCATCATCGTCCCATGAATTTGAGGGCGGTAGTCCGTATACTGGCGCCAAAGTCGAAGCGAGACTAGCGTATTGAAGCTTCGGCATCTGTGAAGGTGATGGGAATGATGAAACGTGAGGGGGCCATATCAGGGGTGATGCTCTGTTCGCTCGCTCCCCCGGAGAGAGTTGAGGGACTCAGATGGGCATCCAGGTTGACATTGTCGGTATGGTAGGAAGAAAATCGAGTGTGGGCAATATGGATATATCTCTGCATTGTCCCAATACCCGCCATGGCCGAGGCAACAGAAATGTGCATTGGGCAAAGTGGTGAAAATCCATTGGTGCGCTGCAGGACAGTTGGAGCAGGTGTATCTAGCCTTTGGCCCAGAATGTAGTAGAATCTGTGAAGCTGTACGTCTACAGTAGTTTGCAGAATCAGATTCACACCTCAAACATCATCTCACTCTTATAAAGTAAATGCCAAGCCTTGGCATTATATAGTACGGTATTATAGTATAGGGGGGTACAGTACGAAACCGTTTGATGCTAACCAGACTAATCTCGTGACATCTACCCCGCACTGCCACCCTTCGTTTTTCCTTACCTGCCCCCCCTGTCAACAAATTGATGGGGATCAAATTTCACCATGGCACCAAGACTCGCTCTATGTAAAGTCCACTTTGTCAGTGATATGTTGAAAAGCAATGAACTCACTATATCTGAAATTGCCAGCACAGCCGAATGTAGTCGGAGATCCGTTCACACTATCCGCACGAACCTAGAACTATTCAATAGTGCCAAAGCTCCCCCAATACGCGCAGGCCGACGACGGACGCTCACATCCCCTATGATGGAAGCCCTCTGCGATCGATTGCTCGAAAAACCAACATTATACCTCGATGAAATGGCGGTTTTTTTATGGGACGAATTCGACATACATGTAACAATAAGCTGCATCAGCCGGGCCCTTACGTCCATAGGGTGGTCGAAAAAGACCGTTCGGCAAAAGGCAAAAGAGCGGAATCAGGACTTACGAGATAGATATTTTCACGATATTTCGGACTTCCAATCCTTTCAATTAGTATTTTGTGGACGAGTCTGGATGTGATCATCGAGCGGGCATTAGGCGGACAGGCTGGTCTCCATTTGGTGTAACACCCGTTCAGGTATCCAAGTTTCATCGCGATAAACGCTATCAAATCTTACCTGCATATGCTCAAGATGGGATCATCCTTTCTCGAATTTTCCAAGGCTCAACGGATGCTGCCTTGTTTGAAGATTTCATCGAGCAATTCCTCCAGCACTGCGGAAAGTGGCCGGGGCCAAAGTCTGTCCTTGTTATGGACAACGCATCTTTTTACCGTTCCGATCGGATTGAAAATCTGTGCTTGAATGCAGAAGTCAAATTGGTGTATTTACCACTATACTCGCCTGACTTGAATCCAATTGAAGAATTTTTTGCCGAACTCAAAGGTTTCATTAAGCGAAACTGGCAACTCTATGAAGACAGCAGCCAAGGCTTTAACTAATTCCTGGAGTGGTATGTTGATACTGTCGGGATGCGAGAGCAAAGCGCCCAAGGGCATTTTAGGCATGCTGGCTTGACTATGGATGAGACGTGAAACGGTACTACAGTATACGATACATCATATGTTATGGACGAGTAAGAAATCTTCTCCATTATAGTAATCTATGAGAATCGCCTGGAATCCACAACCAAATCATATCAATACTTCCCCTCCAACTGCGTATGGACTGCTGGAACATTCGTGTTAAGCAGTTTGTGAGGTCAAGAATATGGGAGGGAAATAACTCGATGCGAAATATTCAATGATAGCAGTGGAGCGAGCGTTTCATTTTAAATATACTATAAAGAGAAAGACAAGGCAGGAGCGGCCCTTTTGGTCATGAGGGCAAATTCATTTAAAATGCGGAGTGGATGGATGCCAGTACCTGCTGACTTGTTACGTACTACTCTAATGTTAGTTAATGATGTCAGAAGAGCACTTTTTGCCAGCAATTACGCATAGGAAGGGTACACACTACCTGGACGATTCACAACATTCAAATCTGCTAGAAGTGTTATGTGGCAAAACAACGAAGTATAAATTGAAGTGGCACCCCATGCCCTCTTTTTACAAAGAGATTAGAATATAATGGGATGAGAATACGCTAAGATGAGGCGAACCTGGAAGTACATTATCACGCAAAACGCACTATATTAACCAGAGAAATGTCAAGAGGCCAGATTTATGTCCAAGAACCAAACAGTTGTCACTAATCGCCACGGAGCTCGGTCGAAAGTCAGGCGGCAACCAGATCAAACGTTGCCCGCTCCGGGTTATCCATTTCTCATCTATAAAGATTTTGGCGCCTGAGTGCTCAACAGAGGAACTTGATGGTTGATCTTTCATAGAGAGTGAACCACGATCAGTCATGAGATGACAACCATCAGCTGAGAATCCTAAAGTTTCAACTGCTGAACCAACCTCATATATTTCTTGTTCCACGCCCCTGGCCGTATGCCACAGTCGCACCGTCTGATCCCATGAGGCCGATGCCACCGTCTGGCCGTCGGGCGAGAAGGCCACTGCGCTGACCCAGCTTGTATGGCCTCGCAGGCTGTGGCGTTCTACGCCCGTGGCCGTATCCCATAGTCGCACCGTCTGATCCCATGAGGCCGATGCCACCGTCTGGCCGTCGGGCGAGAAGGCAACTGCGTTGACCCGGCCTGTATGGCCTTGCAGGCTGTGGCGTTCCACGCCTGTAGCTGTATCCCACAGTCGCACCGTCCGATCGTCTGAGGCCGATGCCACCGTCTGGCCGTCGGGCGAGAAGGCCACTGCCCTGACCCAGTCTATATGGCCTTGCAGGCTGTGGCGTTTTACCCCCGTGGCCGTATCCCATAGTCGCACCGGCTCATCGAATGAGGCCGATGCCACCGTCTGGCCGTCAGGTGAGAAGGTGACTGCGTTGACCGAGCTTGTATGGCCTCGCAGGCTGTGGCGTTCCACCCCCGTGGCCGTATCCCACAGTCGCACCGTCTGATCGGCTGAGGCCGATGCCACCGTCTGGCCGTCGGGCGAGAAGGCTACTGCGGTGATATGATCTGTATGGCCTTGGAGGCTGTGGCGGTCCACCCCCGTGGCCGTATCCCATAGTCGCACCGTCTGATCCTCTGAGGCCGATGCCACCGTCTGGCCGTCGGGTGAGAAGGTCACTGCGCTGATCTGATCTGTATGGCCTTGCAGGCTGTGGCGGTCTACCCCTGTGGCCGTATCCCATAGTCGCACCGTCTCATCGTATGAGGCCGATGCCACCGTCTGGCCGTCGGGCGAGAAGGCGACTGCGCTGATATGATCTGTATGGCCTTGCAGGCTGTGGCGGTCTACCCCTGTGGCCGTATCCCATAGTCGCACCGTCTCATCGTATGAGGCCGATGCCACCGTCTGGCCGTCGGGTGAGAAGGCCACTGCGCTGATCTGATCTGTATGGCCTCGCAGGCTGTGGCGTTCTACCCCTGTGGCCGTATCCCATAGTCGCACCGTCTGATCGTATGAGGCCGATGCCACCGTCTGGCCGTCGGGTGAGAAGGCCACTGCGCTGACCCAGCTTGTATGGCCTCGCAGGCTGTGGCGTTCTACGCCCGTGGCCGTATCCCATAGTCGCACCGTCCGATCGTCTGAGGCCGATGCCACCGTCTGGCCGTCGGGCGAGAAGGCCACTGCCCTGACCCAGTCTATATGGCCTTGCAGGCTGTGGCGTTCCACCCCCGTGGCCGTATCCCATAGTAGCACCGTCTCATCGTCTGAGGCCGATGCCACCGTCTGGCCGTCGGGCGAGAAGGCCACTGCGCTGATATGACCTGTATGGCCTTGCAGGCTGTGGCGTTCTACCAGTGTGGCCGTATCCCATAGTCGCACCGTCTGATCCTCTGAGGCCGATGCCACCGTCTGGCCGTCGGGTGAGAAGGCCACTGCGCTGACCCAGCTTGTATGGCCTCGCAGGCTGTGGCGTTCTACGCCCGTGGCCGTATCCCATAGTCGCACCGTCCGATCGTCTGAGGCCGATGCCACCGTCTGGCCGTCGGGCGAGAAGGCCACTGCCCTGACCCAGTCTATATGGCCTTGCAGGCTATGGCGTTCCACGCCCGTGGCCGTATCCCATAGTCGCACCGTCTGATCGTCTGAGGCCGATGCCACCGTCTGGCCGTCAGGCGAGAAGGCCACTGCATTGACCGAGCCCGTATGGCCGTCTAGGACTTGTATACATGGTTCCCATGACTCTCGCATCATAGATACGTCCCTGAGAAATTTTAACCGCTCACCCCAGTACAGCTTCTTGCTCTCACAATTTCCAGGGCAAAAAGCAAGCGCAGCCCCGTAAGTTTGCAAAGGTGCTTCTTGTATAATAAATCCATTGCTGGTAGCAAATCTCTCGGCTTCCTTTGAGATAGCCTGATGCTGATGGTAAGTTCGCCTGGTGGGGGCCAGCGCTTTCTGTTTTCTCCGACCGCCGAATATCTCCAAAAACCTTCCCGTTCTTTTGGCTTCTGGTTTCGGTCTTGGTTTATCAACAAGCATATCCTGGTAAAATTAGATGGAGTTTAGTAGTCGGTTAAGAATCACCTACCTGGTGTCGGCGGGCAAATCTTTTGAGAGATAAGATGCCATGTCGGACCTCACCAATAAGCCCAAGGCTTTCTAACCAGTGAAGGAGATGCTCTCGGAAAAACTGAGATATGTCTTGATTTTCGGGTGACTCAATTCTATCGGAGGATTCAGAATTGGCTGCGAGGTAATGGTCCAGCCAATGCGTGCAACTATATTGGAGGGCGAAGAGTGGATCAGGATCTGGTCTGCAGTTTGCTATCTCAAAGACCGATATGTCGGGTTTTTCGAGATTTAGCTCGTAAATGTTGCGTCTTAAATTGCTTGAAAGGGCTTGCAGTGACTGCATAAACATTCGGCGGTGAGCAGCTGTAGGACCAGACGAGAATATGTTCTGACCACCCTTTTCAATCAGATAGTCCTTGGCAGACTGATGCACAAAATAAACCGTCTTGTCACGAACCGTGAGGAAGGAGCCACTTCTCTTGACAATTTTCTCTGTATCCTTGACATTTCCGGCGATCTTGTTTGGGAGTCCAGATACCACCCCCAGCTCCAGTAGCTGCAGAGGCCGATAGGCCAGTGCGGTCGCTGATAGGACCAGCTGACAGTACTCTCTGCTTTGCGCGGCGAGCTTCTTGATATGGTCGATCATTCGCGCATATAGGCCATCTAGCCCTGTTGGCACATCATGGACCACCTGCTCCACATCCCAGCTGTCGACTCGTTCGAGTTCCTGGACGACGAGAGCCACCCAGAGAAAAGTTCCCTCGGCTTTCTCCTGGAGGGCCTGTCGAACATACTCCTGCAGGTTATCATCGTTTTGTAGGGATTCAAGCTTCGATATCCTATCGGAAATGTAAGCACTGATCGCCATAGATACGAGATCTGCGTTCTTCTGCAGTTCCAGGCTCAGTATTGACTGCGAGCCGTCGAGCCTTGTACGCTGCTCAACATGATTCCGGCTGGAAATAATCCATTTGACGTGTGGGAATTCATTCGTCCCTTGGAGAATAAACTGTAAGAGCTTGTCTTGGCCCTGCACGCATTCGTCGAGAGCATCAACTACGATGTAGATCTTATCCGGGCTGGAATCACGCAAGATATCGAAGAACATATTGCACAATGCAGTCCACGCTTCCGCATCCCCGAATCGCGGCTCCCCTGTGTTCTTAAATCTTCTTCTTACATGGGGGAGAAAAGACGGTTGCGTGTCTATGAGCATATAGATCAACCCGCGCAGGACAGCATGAGCGTTACTGAGCTTCGGGACTGTGGCTTGACAGAAAAAGAAAGAAAGAAGGGTATTGGCTTGGGAATCTGCTAGTTTTGTGGTCGAACGGAGCTCATCGATGATGCCACAGAGTAGCATCGTCTTGCCTTTACCTGGATCGCCCTTGACCCAAAGGACCTGGCTGCTGTTTCTATCGCGCCAACACAGATATTGGGAATGGCAGAGGATCCACTCGTAGGATTCTTTGAGGGCGGCTCCTCTCGTCTGGTGGATGGCCATCTTGACATCGCGCGGATCAGTCACTGCGAAGTAGTCGAGGCAACGATCTCTGCTTTGTCTGTCTTGGTCTTGCAAGCTTTCATGTTAGGCTGAGAACCACCGAGTGGAACACTTGACATCCAGGCGTACCTCCGACATACTGATAGAAGTTGCTAGGAGAGTACTATGTCAGAATGGGTTTTCGAAGCCATATCAGTGTCAATGTGCCCTTACGAGTTTTCAATCTTTCCTTGAGCCTGGATATTTCCCCCACTGATATCGAACTGTTGACGGTTCATGGTAAAGGATAAATCAGACGATGCTAGCTAAGTCTGCTCTAAAGTGAGTCAAGCGTGTCTCATAATTCCACTGTAATGCACCACTACCAGCAGAGAAATTCGATAGGGGACAGAATTTGAGCCGTCACTCCAAGATTAATCAAAAAGGTTTTCGTCTTGCACGTGATTGAGGAGCCGGGTCATCAAGCTGAAAACAACTGCAGCTTGCAGAGCTGACTCCATCGGTCTTGCATGGTGTTGGAATAAGTATTGTCATCTGGCTCCGCGGTAGCTGCTGCTCCACTTGCAAGCTGGACAAATAACGAGCCGTTGCCTGCGCGTGTCCCACAATTCACTGCCACCCTTCCCTTCCTTCGGCCAATCAGGTGATGAAAAGCGCTCGTGTGGTGTGACGGATCCCACCACGCTGCATTGCATTGCCACGTCGCGCTCCCACTCCTGCAGATCGCCCCCTCCCAAGGCGCAGCCTCCTTTTTGCGAGAAATGGATAGCATCGACCGCTTTCCAGCCGTAGGCAATGCGTAACTCCTGCACTCCAGCGACCTCGGCGCCTACAACAATCTAGTATTTATGTACTCCAGGTCGGTCTCTTTGATATAAATAAGACCATATTTCCCCGAGCAGTGTACACAAGAATCCATCTCGATCTCCCGCAAGCCTATCATCATCAATCAATCTATAAATTTACACAGAGCCACGCGCACCCGTATTAAGATGACAGGTGCGGAAGTTATTGGTGCGGCATCTGGGCTAGCAGGTCTTTTTACCACGACCATTACCTTGTTTGACTATATCTATGTTGCAAGAAAGGCGGCCCCACGACTACAGTCCCTGATCGTGAAGCTTGGCAGTGCGCAACTAAGACTAACGCGCTGGGGCCAGGCTGTCGGTCTCACAGGCTCGAATATCGAAGACGAGGAATCGCTGAAAAACTCAGGCTCGTTCCAGCTCGACAAAGAGCAGGAGAATCAGGCTATACGGACATTTCGGATCTTGGTGACTCTTTTCGAAGAGTCGAAGAAAATCTGTCACAACGAACGCAATGGAAAGTCTGAGGATGACCCTGAAGTGAAAGCGAACGAAATAAAGCCGTTCGGCCAGAATGGCTTCAAGTGGAGCGCTATGCACTGTTACCTTCATGAGACAATGCAAAAAATCGTCCACGAGCGTAGAAATAAGATGTCAGTTCCTCGACTCTTCAAGTTCGCTATTTATGACGAGAAGCATCTCGAGAAGCTGGTTAAGGACATCAATGACCACATTGACGCACTATACCAAATTTACACCCCGTCCGCGAGCGATGAAGAAGAGGCGGGCGAGCAGGAAATGGACAAGCTTCTCAAAGTCATAAAGGAATTGCGCTCTGCATCGGAGCGGGATCCAGTGATAAACACGGCTGCCAAGAATGTATTGGACCAAAGTGTAAGTGGAGGTCGATCTTATTCTCCTATCTTCAATTCATTATCAAGTTGTTGACACAAGCAGAATGAAAATATGACCTTCAACACCACGGAGTCTACCGTCCAGAAAATAGGGCAGGATCAGCAAGGTCGCTATGAAATGACGATCGGATCTGATGCAAGCAAAAGAAGATAATGCTACGCTGGCCAGCTGACTGCAGTCTGAAGAAGTATATCAGTTTCATTTATTAAATATAATGCGACGTTCACGCCTGTTAATTGCTTTCTTTTTTTTCCTTATTTTGTACTGAAAGTCCAGCATTCAGGTTACAGTACGTTATCTCCACTCGAGCCTAATCTTAGCTTTGCTGAACTGGAAGTGGGTGTAGGGCGCCTTGAAAGGCCTCGAGGTAAACTGTCACCAGATAAGTAGAGAGTATCATTTTCTTGCCCGGGATCTGGAAATTGTGTTACAGTGTGTGCTATCGTCCTATAGTAGTCTAATACTGCCTCTGTATCTCGTTTTGCTGCCTTAATCTTACTAATCGCAGACCCCACGATTCGCTGTTTCTCTATGACTGTCCAATCAATGTCAAGGCCCTCAAATTGCTGGTGAAGGCGGTCTTTCGACATCGAAGCCACAATAGTAGTATCTTCCAACCTAACACGTTTGTTCTGAAAGGCCTTTCGATGTCTAACACCTTCGATCTTTTGGTGGAGCACTTCTTCCCAGAAGTCACTTGGTGCTACTACCATGTCTGGTTCCGTGACCCTTATGACCGACCGCTTGGTAACTTTCCACTTGACTAGGTAATGAATATAGGCCAGTGGCTGTTCATCATACACCTTTTTTTTGTCCCAGAGTGTGTAAGGTATAAACCGTAGCCCATCTGTTTGAGATTCTCGTGGTGGCGTATAGGCAAAGTCATCAGATATCCGAGCACTAGGACTATATACGGATGGTGTAGGTGTTCGGCCGAAGCTTCCAGGAGTGGGGGCATACAGCGGGGTCCTATCCCATGGATCGAGAGGCTGAGGTGAGAGACTATCTGGCTGGACGGGAGTGTAGCTCATTGCCACAAAGCTAGTAGTGCTGCTGAGAAACCTAGTATTAGCATTGTCATACGTCAGTCTTGCATTCGATGAGCCATCTTGCATGAGGAAGCTGCAGCTAACAGGCTCAGTAGTACGAGAAGCAGGATCTGCATCGAGATTGAGCCCGAAGCCAGTAAAAAATAGACCTAGTCCTGTTTTTCTCGATGGCTTGCTCACAGGCTGGTTGATGAGTGAAACGACCATATTGCTGTGATGTTGACTGGAGCTCCCTATCACGTGATAGAACTGATTGGGCGGAACCTTCCAGAACCAGTGTGGCAGAAATACCATTGATGAAAGTAAAATACGTAACACGTCCGATGTGACAACATCGAACTATACCGGATTAACATATTGTCCGGCGCTAGCTGCATCTGTACTAGCCCAGACTTGGCGTTAACCAAAAATGAGTATAAGAGTGTGTTTGAGGTGTGAATCTGATTCAGCAAACTACTGTTCGGTAAATGCCAATAATACTCCGTCGTATGCATTCCCTAACAAAAGCCCCGCCGGTCTAAGCGATAGACTTCATGATGATATTTTAGTTACTAGAAGGCATCCTAGTAGAGTGGCTAGTAGAGCGGTTACGCGCTCACATGTCAACGCGTATATCGATTTTACTACTGATGCGCCAAAGCTGAGACACCAGCTTAAACAAGCGAGAGGTCGACAACGCTTGCTGGGTCAGATGAGCCAACAGTGCAGTGGGGAGTACAGGGCACTTTCTCGCGAGATAGAAGAGCTCTTGGCTCTGATCTCTCCCGCTCAACCCATGCAACAGCCGAGAAAGATAAGACGATTGAGGAAACAGCTCCAATCTCGATTCTATTGCAAGGTCTAGCTCCTTAACATGGTTTCTATACTTATGGAGACTCCTGCGGGGCCTGTCCTCTGTTTTGTGGCCTGAAGGTAGCGGACCGGGTTCTAGATGGTTAACGTTCCAAATTGAGCTTGTGATACTGCAGGTTGAAGGCATATTGTACCTATTTGCTAGATGGTCAATAGATTGTAAAGGCAGAGGTCCATCTGCGATAAGCTGAGAGTGTATGTATTGTACAGTCTTTTCGGGAAACGGTGTCACCACCTGCACTCTTTCGTTTCTTTCCAGAGCCTAATGTCAAGATAGGACGCCCCACAGCTGAACGGATTGGTGGTCTACTCTTAACATAAGTGGACAGCTGTCACTAGCGCTTAGCTATATAAGGGATAGTGTGCCTCGGGAACGAGGTGTGTTGGGAAACAAAGGAGAGTAGGTGGTGACACCGTTTCCCGGAAAGACTGTAGTTCACCGCCTGAAGCGTCTACAGGCCTTGGAAACCATCGATCCAAGGCCACGAGCACCGTGGCGGGCGCAGCCCTTTGTCGAGATCGAGATCGAACCAGACCGAGAGAAAGCACAGGCCCAAGCTTTAGCGAGACAGAGTTCAGGACAAAGTATAGCGGTCTTCTCGGATGCATCAGGAAAGGAAAACCAGCTGGGTGCTGCAGCAGTAGCTCTTGATCGCAACCAGCAGATTATAGGATCGCGACAAGTCAGTATCGGTTCGATGGAGTACTGGTCGGTGTATGCAGCCGAGCTCATGGCGATCTACTATGCTATTGGACTAGTCTTCCAGCTAGCACGGCAGAACCAAGGGGTCACTGCAACAGATCAAGAGCCAGCAACAATCCTCAGTGATAGTATGTCTGCACTACAAGTAATCAGAAACTCATGGAACAAATCAGGCCAGTGCGTCATCCAGGCCATTCACTACTCGGCCAGAGAGTTGAACGCTCGAGGAATTCCACTACGACTACAATGGGTCCCGGGACACTGCGGGGATCCTGGAAACGAGGCGGCAGACCGACTGGCCAAAGCCGCAGTAGGCGAGGAAAAGAAGCATCCCTTCAAACACCTCCTATCGCGGGAGAAAGGATACATTTGCAGAAAGATCCATCTAGAGTGGGAACAAGACTGGAAAACATCGAAAAACGGAGGGCACCTGCGCCACATCGACCGAGGCCTGCCATCCAGCAGGTCTCGCCGTCTGTATGGCTCGCTCCCCCGGAATCGAGCGTACCTGCTCACGCAACTTCGCACCGGTCACTCGTGGCTAGCTACGTACGCTAAACAACGCGGCTTCCGAGACAACGAGCGATGCGAGTGCGGGGCTACTGAAACGGTGGTGCACGTATTGATCGACTGCCCGCGGCTCCGCGTACTGCGCCAAAACCTACGGCAGAAAATTGGAGGAGCGTTCAATAATATATCAGATATGCTGGGAGGAACAGGTCACGGTAGGGAAGGTAGGCCACAAGATGTCCCGCCAGACAGCAGCGTCCTCGGGGCGGTACTGGACTTCGCGGAGGCATCGCAGAGATTTCGAAGTCGCGCGCCACGAGGGCGGCAGAACAAAACCCCAGGCACCGGCCAACACAGGCCTTGACGAGGCTCCAAGTTCGTCAGGAAAGTAATAGTTTACTGTGAAGCATGTACATAGAGATTAGAGATAGTGGTACCCTGCATATCGCTTAAGGCGAGGGGTCAGCGTATGAATAATCATCATCATCATCGACTGTAGTTCACCGGGATGCAAAAATGTCGGGACGGGCCGAGACGCGAACCCCTGAACCGCTCGGCCGCGACGAACACGAAAATTCACCACCACGATTGGCGAGGCCGAAACGTACCACAAGACCACCGACTCACTATGCTCGAGACCAAGAGATCGATACCGAGCAGAGAAACAAGCGCCCCCAGCGGAAGAAGAAGACCCGGGCCAAACCAGTAGCCCAACATGATGCGGTGACTTCGGACGACTCCTCGACCGAGAGCGAGGACCTGGACGCCGCCACACTTGTTAAAGAGCTTGTCAAACTCAGGAAAGAGATCAGACGGCGAGATGAACTACATAAGGAAGAGCTTCAGAAAGTCAAAGAAGAATTTAGTGCCGCACTCGCAGAAGTTCGACACGAGCTGCAGACCCTGACAGATAGACCCCCGACACCGCAATCCGAGGCATGCTCTCAAAACAGCCACGATGAGATCCTCCGCGAAATTCAATCCCTGCGCATTGCAATCAGTCCTTCAGACCCCACAAGTTCCCCGTCCTATGCAGATGTCGCCCGCACTCCTCCAACCAGTCACCCGAGCAACATACGGACTCTCTCAACGTCGAACACGACACCGACCACCTTCACCGACACGTTGTATTGCACGATAGACACTTCAAGGATGGCAGACGATGAACGTGAGAGGATGTCCGCAGGCCCAGTACGGGCGGCGGTTGAGACAGAGATTCGGACGATGGAAAACCACATGCACTGGCGCTGTCGCGCTGTCACGGTGGATCCGAAAAACACAAACCGAATAAGAATAGCGTGCCGCGATGAAGCTGAACACCAACTGGTCAAGAAAGTGGCGGAAACAAAGATCGGCGCGGGAGCCCGGGTGCTCCGTGACGAGCTTTACCCGATCAAAGTTGACAGCGTCAATAAGGCCGCAGTGCTCGATGAAAATGGTGATATCCGGGTAGGGGCCGCAGCAGCCTTCAGCGAGGAGAACGAAGCCACCGTTGCCAAGATCGCTTGGCTCAGCAGAAAGGAGAGTGCAAAGGCCTATGGGTCAATGGTGGTTTACCTAACGAAAGGCGCTGATGCGCGGAGACTTCTGGCCGACGGTTTCTTTCACGCCGGAGGGGAATCTGGTGTGACCAGAGTCTTCGAACACCGACCACGACCGATACAATGCTACAACTGTCAGGAGGTTGGCCATAAAGCATTCCAGTGCAAGAACGTCCAGAGGTGTGCAAAATGCGCCGCGGAAGGCCATCGCCACAGTAACTGCGACCAAACGGTTCTAAAGTGCGTTCCATGCGGAGGCCCTCATGAATCGTACAGCAAAAACTGTCAGAGGCTCTATCCATCACGTCATGAATAAAACTCTCCGAGTAATTCAACTGAACGTGAGGAAACAGGGTGCAGTACACGAGAGCTTAATGAACGACGAAGAAACCCAGAACGCAGTGGCGTTAGCGATTCAGGAACCCCAAGCGAGGAGAATTCAAGGCCGGCTCTTGACTACCCCGATGGGACATCACAAATGGACAAAGATGGTGCCTTCTACCTGGAGGGAAGGCAGATGGGCGATCCG